CATATAAGTGAATCACAGAAGAGACCTTTGGGATTTTGGAGCATGAGTCTACATCATCCTCAGAACATTATTCTCCCTTAGAGAGAGAGCTCTTGACCTGCCATTGGTCCTTAATGGAGACTGAATGTTTGACAATGAACCAACATGTTACCATGCAACCTGAGCTGCCTATCAGGAGCTGGGTGTTATCGACCCACCAAGCCATAAAATAGGCTATGCACAGCAGCGATCCGTTATCAAATGGATGTAGTATATATGAGATTGGGCACAAGCGGGTTCTGAAGACACAGGCAAGTTACACGGAGAAGTTGACCAAATGCCTGTGGTTTCTACTCCTGTTACAGTGATTTCTGATCCCAAGCTCATAGGGTTTGCCTTATGATCAGCTGATGGAGAAAGAAGACCAGGGCCTGGCTTGCTCATGCTTCTGCTTGCTATGCATGCATCACTCAGAAGTGGACAGCTGCAGCATCACAGCCCCTTTCTGCCACAAGCTTGAAAGATGCCAGCAATGGGAAATCCTCACAGTGGGCAGAACTTTGGGTTGTATACATGTTTGAATATTTTTCTTAGAAGGAGAAGTGGCCAGATGTGTGATTTTTCACTGACTCGTGGACTGTAGTGAATGGACTGACTGGAAATAGCATGATTGGAAAGAGGTAAGAAAGGCATCTGGGGAAGAAGTATATGGATAGATCTCTTTGAATGGGAAAGGATGTGAAGATACTGTGTCCCCTTCTCATCAAAAGGTGACTTCGGCTGAGAAAGAGTGTAATCAGTAGATAGAATGACCTATTCTGTCAACAGCCAGTCTCTTTCTGCGGCCTTCCCTGTCATTGCCCAGTGGGCCCAGGAACGAAGTGGCCATGGTGACAGAGATAGAGGTTATGCATGGACTCAACAACATGGACTTCTGCTCTCCAGTCTGACCTGCCTACAACTGTTGCCGAGTGACAGATCTGCCAACAGCAGAGACCAACACAACCTCCAGATAGGGCACCATTCCACAAGGGATAGGCCAGCTACTGGTGGCAGGTTGACTATGTTGGACCACTTCCTCTGTGGAAAGGACAATGCTCTGTCCTTATTGGAGTAGCTACTTATTTTGGTTACAGATTTCTTTTTTCTGCTTGTAATGCTTCTGCCAAAACCACCATCCTTGGATTTAGAGAATGCCTGATCCACCAATGTATTCCACACAGTATTGCTGCTGACCAAGGAACTCACTTCGCCACCACAGAACTGTGGCAGTGGCCCTTGTTCATGGGAACCAGGGGTCTTACCATGTTCCCCACCATCAAAGGCAGCTGGCCTGATAGAAAGATGGAATTGACTTTTGAAGACACAGTTACAGTGCCAGTTGGGTGGCAGCAGCGTGGAGGGCTGGGGCACAGCTATCCAGAAGGCAGTGTACGCTTTGAATGAGTGTCTAATACATGGTATGAGTTCTCCCAAGCCAGGATCCACAGGTCCAGGAATCAAGGGGTGGGAAAGGGAATAGTTCTACTCACTGTCACCCCTATCTTTCTGTTCCCATGACTTTCAGTTCTGCTGGCCTAGAAGTTTTGGTTCCAGATGGGTGTGTGCTCCTACCAGGAGCCACAACAAGCATTCCATTGAAATGGAAACTCAGATTACTCGCTGATCACTTTAAACTTGTTACCTTTAAGTCAACTGCATAAGATAAAGGAACAATAGTGTCAGAAATTGGATTGCTTCTGCACATTCAGGTAAGGAAGATTATGTCCTTTACGGTGTCTCTTGCAGCTACCATGTTCTGTGATTAAAGTCAATGGGAAACCGCCACAATCCAATCCAGGCAGATGACAAAGGGCACAGGACCCATCAGGAAAAGAGCCAAGACCTGCTGAGGAGGGTGGAGAAAATACAGAATGGGTATAAAGGAAGGTAGCTATAAACACTAGCTAAGACCACTTGACCAGTTACAGAAATGAGAAGTACAATTGAGAAGAGTTAAGAATGTGTGAAGCAGACACCGAGATCGACAATAAATGGGACCTCCTGAAACTGTAAGGCAAAGGACACAGTCAACAAAACAAATGGCAGCCCACAGACTGGGAAAAGATCTTCACCAACCCCACATCTGACAGAGGGCTGATTTCTAAAATATACAAGGAACTCAAGAAGCTAGTCACCAAAACATCAAATGATACAATTAAAAAGCGGGGTACAGAACTAAATAGAGATTTCTCAATAGAGGAATCAAAGATGTCTGAAAGACATTAAAGAAAGTGCTCAACATCCTTAGCCATCCGGGAAATGCACATCAAAACAACTCTGAGATACCATCTTACACCTGGCTAAAATCAAAAACACCAACAACAGTTTATGCTGGTGAGGATGTGGAGAAAGGGGAACAATCCTCTGTTGCTGGTGGGAATGTAAACCTGTACAGCCACTTTGGAAATCAGTATGGCGGTTTCTCAGAAAAATAGGAATCAGTCTACCTCAAGACCCAGCCATATCACTCTTAGGTATATATCTCAAAGGGCGCACATTCATACCACAAAGACATTTGTTCATCTATGTTCATAGCATCATTATTTGTAATAGCCAGAACCTGGAAGCAACCTAAATGCCCCTCAACCAAAGAATGGATAAAGAAGATGTGGCACATTTACACAATGGAGTACTACTCAGCAGAAAAAAGAAGAAGAAAAAACCAGCATCATGAAATTCCCAGGCAAATGGATGGAACTAGAAGAAATCATCCTGAGTGAGGTAACCCAGACACAGAAAGAAAAGCATGGTATGTACTCACTAATAAGTGGGTGTTAGACATAGAGCAAAGGATCACCAGCCTATAGTCCGCAAAACCAGAGAAGCTAAGAAACAAGGAGAACCCTAAGAGAGACATACATGGTCCCCCTGAGAAGGGGAAAGAGACAAGATCCCTCAAGGAAATTGAGAGCATTGGGGGGAGGGGAGAGGGAGTTATGAGAAAGAGAAGGGCAGAATAGCAGGGGTGAGGAGGACATAAGGGAGCAGGAAGATTGAGTCAGGGGAAGAACAGAGGAGAGCAAGAAAAGAGATACCATAAATAGAGGAAGCCATTATAAGTTTAAAGAGAAATCTTGCACTAGGGAAATGTCCAGAGATCCACAAGGATGATCCCAACTAAGAATCTAAGCAATAGGGGAGAGGCTACCATAAATGCCCTTCCCCGATAATGAGATTGACGACTACCTTAAATGTCATCCTAGAGCCTTCACTCAATAACTAATGGAAGCAGAAGCAGAGATTCACAGCCAAGCACTGGGCTGAACTCCTGGAATCCAGTTGTAGAGAGGGAGGAGTGGTGAACAAAGGGGTCAAGACCAAGCTGGAGAAACCCACAGAAAGAGCTGACCTGACTAAGTAAGAGCTCATGGACCCCAGGCTGACAGCTGGAAAACCAGCATAGAACTGAACCAGGCCCTATGGGTGTCAGTTAGGAGGCCTGGGCAGTCTATGGGGCTTCTTTCAGTGGAACCAGTATTTATCCCTAGTACATGAATGGACTTTGGGAGCCCATTCCCTATGGAGGGATACTCTCTCAGCCTAGATACACTGGGGAGGGCCTAGGTCCTGCCCCAAATGATGTGACACACTTCGATGATCCCCCATGGAAGGCCTCACCTCCCTGGGCAGTGGATGGGGGTGGGATGGGAGGATCAGAGGGAGAGGGAAATGGGATTGGTATGTAAAATAAGATTTTTTTTCTAATTTAAATTAAATTTTATTTTAAAATGCAGATATTTGTGTTTTTCCTTATTTTCTTTGTCATGTGATGTAAAATCAATTGAAAGAATATCTGTAACTTCATAATTAAGTTTTGAGGCACTAAAAGAATATTCAAGGGACAGTACCACTTATTCTAATTTATAATGCATTTAAAGTCATATGTGGAAGAATTATATCATGTTAAGTGTAATTATGAGCTGGTTAAATATATATTTGTGGTTGTGAGTGAGATAGTCAGATCATATTAGGCATAATTATGAGCTGGTTAATGTTTTCATTTGTAAATGAAATATGACATAAGGGGACATGATTGTGTGACAGGTTTGACAAGTGTGGATGGACTTGTGATAGCTATTCTTGGCTGTCAACTTGACTACATCTAGAATTAACTATAACCCAAGCAGCTGGGTACACCTGTGAGGAATTGTTTTTAATTAAATTATTTGAAGTATAAAGACCCACCTTTAATCTAGATCTTTTGAGTTGGGAAAGTCGACCTTTAATCTGAGCCACACCTGGTGGCAACCTATATAAAGGACATGGAAGAAGGACTTGCCCTCATCTCATTCTCAATTGACTGGCATTAGAGCCTGCTCATTTGGGATTCCATTGTACACTAAAGACCAGCTGACCACTTGGTTCTTGGACTGTCCGTTGGGAAACAGCCATTGTTGGACTAGCTGGATCACAGTCTGTAAACCACTCTAATAAATCTTTAATCTCGTGTGTGTGTGTGTGTGTGTGTGTGTGTGTGTGTGTGTGTGTGTGTGTGTGATTCATTCTACCAGGTCTATTTCTCTAAAAGAGCCCTGACTAATGTGTCACCCAAAAGCATTTTGGAGTCTATAGTTGTTATGTTACTATCTCTGTGCATTCTTCCATCCAAAAACAGTTAATTGTGATCTTCTATGGACCCTGTGTAGGGAGCATCTTCTCACCAGGGCCTGGTCCATGGCCCTGAAGGGGGGATGCTTGCTGTCTCTGGGTTGTGCTGTACTATTCCTAAGTGCTACTTGTTCTGTGTTGGTTAAAGCAGTGGTGGTAAGCTGTTGCAGAGCATGAAGGAGAGGGGGGCAGAGTGGGTCCCTTTCTGTCATCTCTTCTCCACGCTGCCCCTGAGAACAAGGGGTGGCTAGTGTGAGGAACTCAAGTCCTTAGCCTGTATTCTAAAACCTAATGAGGCAACCCAAACTAGTCCTGTGCTGTTGTTGTGTTTATGTTCTATATATTTGCTGAACCTGTGATCTTTACTTTAGTGAAACCAACCTGAAGGTGAAGCAGGCCATCTCAGTTACCAGTGATATGGAGGATAACCTGGAGCTGCTGTCTGCCTTTAATGGTGAGCCAGGAAATGGGCTGTCCACCCAAACTTTCATCATCAGAGGCACATCAATACAGGAATTCAAAAGGTTCATTGAAACAATATGCAAGTTGATAGTCCTTGACATGGAAAAAAACATACACAACATAATAGGAGAGGTATGTAGATTACAAAAGCCAGCATATACACATAATGTTAAACATGTCTTGGGGAGACATGTTTACATTCATACACAGGAAAAAAACGTACAGGTTGTAATTCAAAGGCTAATAGCATCTTTCTCTAAACAATGAGTACAGTGTTTCTCAAAAGCCTTTAATTCCAACACTCAGGAGACAGAGGCCAGCCTGAGCTTGGGGCCAGCCTGGTCTACTTAGTGAGTTCCAGGCTAGCCACAGATACTTAGTAAGGCCCTGTCTCAAAAAAAAGTTTCATGGTCATTTTAGTATTTTATAAATATTTTACAAGGGACATCCAGCAAGATCGCTCAGAGAATAAAGGCACTTGCTTCTAAGCCCGTGACCTGAGTCTGATACCTGGGACCCACAAGGTGGAAGGACAGGACCAGCCCCCATGTGTTGCTGTCTGGTCTCCACACATGCGCCATTTGCACGTTTCCCCCTCCTCTTACATGCAAAGCAAAATAAATAAAGCCAATAGAAGTTCAAACTATTTACAAAGTACATATTTACTCATCAGGAAGAAGTCAACTGTTTCTATTTTGAAAACAATAATAGGTTCACTTTAGAGTAATATTTTCATTTCTCCGCCTTCATTGTCATTGATCTGACTATACTGATGCTGATAAAGTGCCCTCTTGCGGTTTGTCTGTGTGACCATAGCAATACAGAATTACCACTTTGTTTTATTTTTGTGCGTTCTAAAGGAATGTAGCGCAAGATAGGGAGAAGCTGAGAAGATAGAGCAAATTATGTTATATGTTGTACTATCTATTGTATGTTGTTTTCCTCCCAAGGTTACAGAGCTAGCAGTCTTCCTCCCTTACTTCCCTGCAGGAGAAGTTCGATGTGAGCCTCCCAACAACAAGTTAGACAAGTTTTCCGGAACCCTGCACTATCTGGGGGACAGCTACTTCCTGAACCATGACCGGCTACTGCTCCGGGGATGCATCATCAGGAACACGGATTGGTGCTTTGGTTTGGTGATTTATACTGGTACGCTTCCTTATACTGGCTCACCACCCAGTTGTAGATATTTAGTTCTAAGGATTCAGATTAACATTCAAGCATATATCAGAATAGTAGCTTACTGTTGAACTGATGCTGGATGAACAGGTGGCTGGAGGAGAAATGAAAGAAGCAATTGAGGGGAAAGGGACTTTGTTCCAGGCAATGTGCTCCTAACATTTCATCTCCTCCTTTCTTAGAGGGTGGCTTTGTGCTCAACACTATAAGGCATTCGTGGGTCCTCCCAGCCATGTGTGGACACAGGAGAGGGTGAACAGAAGAATGCAGACAGATTACCCCCATAAAAAGGACACAGATAGTGCTCATTATGGAGAAGAATATAAAATGTTAACAGGCAGACTTCATGTAAGAGAAAAGCACTGTGTTCGTGGCTAAGAGACCTACTCCAGCCCCACCCAGGGTCCTAAAGGTGAAATGCTTCTCAGGAGCGAAGGAGGGGGTGAGAGACCTCTATAGTACTTCACACACAGTCAGAGGGTCATGCTCTTCATTTCCTGTGGTCTTTATTGTTCTGTTTCTACTCTAATAATCCTGTCCTACTTATAACTTCTCCATGCTTCTTCTTCTATCTAAAAACTCTTCTCCTTCAGGAGCCTTGAAATGATAAAAGTTTCTCTCATTGGCCAAAGCACACCCTAGAGGAAGCGATACGGAGCTGAGCTATTTACCAAGGCAGCACAAGGGTCCAAGGCCACAGGAGAAAAACCATGACCAGACAGGGAGGGCACAGTGCCCAATGACAACTTTAAGATACAGATCTATTGTTAGTAGACTGTCAAGTGAAGAATTAGCATGCTTTTCTTAGTAACCTTGGTAGACATCTACGCCTCTGACCTTGTGCAAGATGTAAAATTTTCTTTTTACAAAAAGCCTTTAGTCTAGTTTGAACTTGCTCTGAGGTGAAAGTATGTTAATTGTGGGCAGTAGTCTGAGGAGGGGAACAAGGCAGGCTGTTAAGAGTTAACATTAGGTAACCCTGCTGTACCTCTTATGGCCCCTGAAGCATCTTGAGATGTCCTTTAGAATCACAAGCCACAATATATAGTGTGAGGGTTTCTTGTTCATGGTGTGGTTGAGAAAGAACCTCTGCTCCACTTTGCACCCTTAGTGGCAACAGACATTAATAACGTTGTTCCTTATCTGTCCCTGTGATAAAATATCACTTGAAAGGGAGGAAAGACATACTTTTTACTCAGTTTTCCAAGGTGTTAGTCCAAGGTTGCTTGATCCTATAGCATTGGACCTGGAGCAAGGCCAAACAACATAGTGGGAGTGTGTGGTGGGAAAAACTGCTCATGTCACAGTGGCCGAGAAGCAGAAGAGTGAGAGGAGGGGCCTTCAGGAGCATGCACTAATAACTTTCAACTACATTCCATACCTTCACGTTTCTAGTGCCCCCAATAGCACCAGCTACTGAAGACCAAGCTGTCAGCAAATGCGCTTTTAGGAGATATTTGAAATATAGGCTTTGACACAACCATGACCACAGTAGGAAGAATTTAGAAAGCCTTATCATAGAGAATGTTACTAAACTTGAATTTCTGGAGGTCATTGCTAGAGCATCCACTCTCAAACACGAGACTTAGTTGTCCTTCTATAGAAAATAAGACAAACACCCTCTGGAGAAGCTGAAGAGTCCAAGGAAGTCTTGGTAGACGTTCCCATCTGACTCTTGGTTTGTTAAAGATAGTGGTGAACTTTGGGGAGTCCCATGCAGGAGTCTCATATTACTATGTGCATCCTGAAGCACTCAGTGCAAACTCGAGTCACTGTCCCTGCTCTGCTGTGCTCAAGTTCCACCATGGGCTCTCCCTCCCTCTTAAAAGCCAGGGTGAGCAGGGCCAGTCTTTCTATAGCTCCTGGGAGATAGGATCCCTGCAGCTGCCTTCAACTTCTCAAGAATCCAAACCTGTGAAGGAAGGCTTCAGAGGATAGAATGCTGCAGCTTATGCTGTGTGTTCCCAATGTTTGCCCACATAGCAGGAAACCCAGTACCCCACATCCTCCTTCATTAGAACACGTATAAAAACCGTAGTCGGATGGTAAAAGGCCACAGAAACCGCTGCTTACAATTTCTTCCTAAACCCACTTATGAATATTTTCTCTCAAACTGCTAGCAGTATCTCTAACTAATAGTTTGCAGGTCAGTTCCATGGACATTCAAGGCTGCCTTACTCACTGTCTGTGAGTGGTTCTAAGATCTGGATTTCTCCCTGTTTTTGCTTAGGGCCAGACACCAAATTAATGCAGAACAGTGGAAAGGCTACCTTCAAACGAACACATATGGACCATCTTATGAATGTCATTGTGGTCTGGGTAAGTTAAACACTTCCCCTGTTTCTTTGCATAGACATATGTCCACAGCTGGCACCTCCAAATCAGAATGAAGTTTTTGAAAGTTGCAAGAAGTTTTATGACCCCACAAGCTAAGGTGTGAGTCGGGAAAGAACAGACTCAATGTACAAGAGTCTAGGTTACTCCTTTTGTGCAAGATAATGACAATTAAGAAACTGTTGCCTTTGATAAATGGGACCAGAGTTAATCAAAGACCCCACTTGAGAAATAAAGATACCGCCTCATATCAGTTTTGATAATTACTGTTAATAACCCTTCACATAGACTAGTAGAACACCGTATTTAAACTCCTCAAAGGAGGCAGAGACAGGAGAAGATCTGATAGCCTTGCTCCAGCCTTATCTGAGTTTCTGCTTCAAGTAGAGCAACTTCCCATTATTCTGTTGTATAATGTTGGAAAAGTAGGGGTTCTTCTGCTTTAAAAAAAAAAAAGTCTGAAAATCACTAATAAAGGGAATTATGAGCAAGGGAAAGATATTTCTTAGTTTTAATTTTTAAGAAAATGTACATACAATTTTTGGTATTATTTACCTTCACTAAACTAAACTACTTTCAGATCCTCCCCATCTCTCTACCTACTCAACTCCATGTTCTCTCGCCCCAAAAAATAAAAATAAAGCAAAAGCAAAAGACAAAGATCACAACAAACTAAAAAATTATAAGAGAAAAATACCAAAACAAAGCAAAAAATGCACACACAAAAAGAACACGGAGCCCATTTTATGTTGGCCAACTATCCCTGGGCACAGGTCCTTCCCTGGTAAATGGTTGATATACCCAAGTGCATTCCACTGGGGAAAACTGATTTTACCTTTCTCTGGTTGGGGGTAGGACATTGTGTCCACTTTCCCTTCTCTGTGCTAGGATTTTCTCTGGTTTGAACTTCTGCAGGTCTTGTGCCTAATGTCACAGTCTCTATGAGTTAAAGTGTGCATCAATCTGTTTTGTCCTTGGAGTCACCCACCACTTCTGGCTCTTTAAAAAAATCTTTCTATCTCCTCTTGTACATAGACCTAAAGCCTTGACTGGTTTGACCATTTAGGTGTCCCATTTAGGGCTGAGTGCTCCAAAGTCTGTCATTCCCTGAGTATTTTCCAGTTGTGTGTCTCCATGTTAATTCTCATCAAGAAAGAAGCAGCCTCTGTGATGAAGGATAAGTGATTCACGGATCTGTAGCAATAGCAATATGTTATGAGTCATTTTATTACTGTGCTCTTTTAGCAGAATAATAGTAATAAATTTATTTTTGGGGACCATGGCCTACCTAGTCCTGGGTCCTTGCCACTTTAGTCATTCAGATATGGCTGCATCTCATGAAGTGGGCCTTAAATGCATTTTCTAAAAGTGGTTGGTTGCCCCCATAACATTTGAGTCACTATTGCACTAGTGTATCTCACAGGCAGGTTGCTGTTGTGGGTCACGGGGTTTTAACTAGGTAATACTGAAGATTACTTTTCTCCTCTGCTAGTATGCAAAGTACCTTCCAGAATCATGAATGCCAGTCAGTAGAGGTGAAGCCTCTAGCTAGGCACCAGCTTGATTTCTCCATGTTTGATGATATAAATAAGTGGTGTCCTCCACAATGGGGCCTCACCATCTGGTTGTGGAGGGTAACGAATAGCTTTGGCAATAGCGTATGGTGTTAGGGGTGCATCTATGGGCCCCTTTGGCCAATGACTCAATAAGATGTAACCCATTCTTGGCACTGGAGGTTTTACTTGGTGGTATAAAATATACAGTTGGGATAGTGTCTCCCTCTATATGTAATAACTCTACTGAAATTCCTTTCATGTATGTATGTATTTTAGGGAGCTTCTGTGTAGTAGGTTCCCATGTGGCTTTTTAAAAAAGCCTTTAGTGTTAATCTTTCTGCCCATATTCCCTCCCATTACAGTGCTCTCCCATCCTCCTCCCCATTTAATCCTCCTATCCTAGTCTCCCTTCCTTGGATGACTCCCTCATTCCTCCAGCCCCCTTACTCACTCCATAACCTCTGTAGATATTCTGATTGAAACACACATCCAAAGTTAACATCCATACATAAGGAAAAAACATCGGCTGGGTGGTGGTGGCACATGCCTTTAGTCCCAGCACTCTAGAGGAAGTGGACCTTTGTGAGTTCGAGGCCAGTCTGGTCTACAAAGTGAATTCCAGGACAGCCAGAACTAAACAGTGAAACCCCATCTCAAAAAAAAAATAAAAATAAAAACAACAACAACAACAACAAAAAGAACATGGAATATTTGTTTATTGGGGTCTGGGTTACCTCACTCAGGATGATTGTTTCTAGCTTTACTCATTTACCTATAATCACTGTAATTTCATTTTTCTTAATAGCTGAATAATATTCTGTTGAGTAAATGTATCACATTTTCATTATCCATTCATTAGTTGATGGACATTAAAATTTTCAAATTCTTAGATTTTGTGAATAAAGAGAACATCAATAAACATATGAAAAAAGTATTTCTGTATTAATATTTAAAGTTCTTTTGCTGTATGTCCAAGAATGGTATAGGTAGATCTTGTGGTTGGGCAATGTTCAGCTTCCGTAGTATCAGGACCAGTTGGTACTCCTACCAGCAATGAATGAGTGTTTCCCTTTCCCTGGACCCTTGCCAGCATGTACTGTAGTTTATTTGTTTGGGATTTTTTATTGATCTTGGCTGTTCTAATTGGGGCAACATAAAATCTCAAGCTAGTTTTAATTTGCATTTTCCTGGGAGATAAAAATATTCAACATTCTCTTAAGTGATTCTCAGCTATTTGTGTTTCATCTTTGAAAAACTCTGTTTAGTTCTATATCCCCTTTTTAAAACTAGGTTATTTGTTTTCTTTGTATTCAATTTTTTGTTTGTTTGTTTGTTTGTTCTTTGTATATTCTGACACTAACCTGTCAGGTGAATGATTAGTAGAGATTGCTTTCCATTCTCTAGGCTGCCACTTTGCTGGAATGATGACATCTTTCTTTTCTCCCTCTTCTTCCCCCACCCCACCTTGGTTCTTTGAGACAGGATTTCTCTATATAACATAACAGCCCTAGTTGTCCTGAAACTTGCTTTGTAGACCAGGCTGGCCTTAAAGTCAGAGATCCACCTGCTTCTGCCTCTTGAGTGCTTGAATTAAAGGTGTGTGCATCACCACCACTGTTAGAAAAGCATGCTCAAAAACCATGCCTGGGTGGGCCTCTTTTGCTGTACAAAAGTTTTTCAGTTTCATGACGTCCCACTTGTTAATTGTTGGTTGTAGTGCCTGTGTTGTGTTCTGTTCAGGAAATCTTTTCCTGTGTCAATGAGTTCAAGTGTATTCCTCACTTTCTCTTCTATTGTTGTGTTCCTTGGTCCACTTGAGTTTTTCACAGAATGATAGACATCGATCTATTTTCATTCTTCTATATGCAGCTATTCAGTTTGACCAGCACCATTTTTTAAAGATGCTGTCTGTTTTCTGGTGTGTATTCTTTGCTTCTTTGTTAAAATTCAGGTGTCGGTGTGTGGAATTGTGTCAGATCTACACTTTGATTCCATTGAACGACACGTGTTTTTATAAGCTGATACCATGTTGTTTATATTACTATAGCTCTGTAGTGCAACTTGAGATCAGAAACAGTGATGCCTCCAGCAATTCTTTTATTATTCAGAATTGTTTTGGTTATACTGGTTTGTGTGTTTGTGTGTCTCTGTGTATTTCCATATGACATTAAAGATTGGGGATTTTTTTCCATTTTTTTTTATTGGTGGTGGTAGCACACACCTTCAATCCTAATGCACATACTATTAGTCCTACACTCAGGAGGCAGAGGCAGGTGGAGTTTTGTGAGTTCAAGTCCAGCCTGGTCTACAGAGCTAGTTCCAGGGCAGCCACGCCTACATAAAGAAACCCTGTCTCAAAAAATAAAACAAAATTAAAAAAATAAATAAATATGATTGGGTTTTTTTTTTTTTTTTTTTTTTAGTTTCTATAAAGAATGTATTGGAATGTGGTAGGATGGCCATGTGAAGAGACCATGACCATGGCAACTCTTATAAAGGAAAACATTTAATTGAGGTGGCAATTTACAGTTCAGAGGTACACTCTATTGTCATCATGGTGGGGAGCATGGTGGCTTGCAGCCAGACATGATGCTGGTTATATCTTGATCAGAAGGCAGCAGGAAGTGGACTGTCTATCACACTGAGCAAAGCTTGAGCAAAGGAGACCTCAAAGCCCGCCCCCACAGTGACACACTTCCTCCAGCAAGATCACACCCACTCCAACAATGCCACTCCCAGTGAACTTATGGGGGCCAGTTACATTCAAACTACCACAGCCATTTTCTTTCTCCTTTCCTTTTTTTATTTAAAATAGATTCTTCTCTCATACATTACATCCTAGTCACAGGTTCCCCTCACTCCACTCCTTCTAGTTCCCCCTACTTTCCCTCTCCTCCAGATTTACTCCCCCTCCATTTCCTCTTCAGATAAGAGCAGACCTCCAAACAGGACAAAATGAGATACAATAAGTCTGGACAAGGCAACCCAATAGGAAGAAAAGAGTCTCAAGAGCAGGCAAAAGAGTCAGAGACACACCCACTCCCCCTGTTAGGAGTCTCATAAAAACACCAAGCTAACAGCCATAACAAATACACAGAAGACCTGGTGCAGACCCTAGCAGGCCCTGTGCTTGCCATTTTAGTCTCTGTGAGCCCGTGCAAGCCCTGCTTAGTTGATTCAGTGGCCCATGTTTTCCTGATAGCCTCCATTCCCTCTGACTCCTGCCATCTTCCCTCTCCATCTTCTATGGGGTTCCTCCATTACCAAGGGGAGGGACTTTATGGAAACCTCCAGTTTAGACTCTCTCTCTGCATAATGTCTGGCTATGGGTCTCTGCACCCCCTCCCATCCCCTGCCAGAGGAAACCTCTCTGATGACATTGGAGTATAGCAGAATATCATTAGGAATACACACACACACACACACACACACACACACAAACAAACACATGTGTGTGTGTCTGTGTGTGTCTCTGTGTGTGTGTGTGTGTGTGTGTGTGTGTGTGTGTGTGTGTTCATTCCTCTACCCTTGTCTCTGGTTTATCCAGTCTGCAGTTCCTGGCCCTCTAGGCAGTGTTGGGCATGTGCTCCCTCTTGCAGCATGAGCCTCAAACCAGACATTGGTTGGCCACTCCCACGAGCTCTGCCCAACCATTGCCCCAGCACATCTTTCTGTAAGGAGAGATTATAGTTGGATGATTTTGTGGCTGGATTGGTGTCCAGGTTTCTCTTTCCATAGCCCATGGGTACTTTCTCCAAGCCCACACCAGCTTGACATTTCTACATTCAGTGAGCTGTGTAGAAGTTGTCCTCAGCAATGGGGCCCTGCTTTCAGTTGTCAGAGAGCAACCGTCTGGGTTGTTTAGGGATTTCCACAGAATCTCCTTGACCAACAACTCAACTGAATATAGCCCAGTCCCACCACTGGAAGCCTTGTCTGGCTACAAATGATGGCCAGTTCAGACTCCATATCCTCCATTACTAGGAGTCCTCACTGGGACCACCCTGATAAACCTTTTCTGAACAAGGGAATTTTTAAAATGCTTAGTGGTCATAGCTAGGACTGAAGTGGTGGCTTTGGCTGCTGGCTCCACCCCCTTTGGCTTTCCAACATGGCAGGGGTACATTTACCGCCAACTCTTTGAGCCATGCTCGTTGCCCCAGCTGTAGGGATGCAGCAGGTCCATGCTGCCATTAAGCACCTTGTAGCATGTTCCTCACAAATCCCATTGAAGTGCTCCATAGCAAGACCTGGCCAGCCATTTGTGCTGCCACCATGAATCAGGAAGCCATCTCTTAAAGTGGCCAGGACTCTACCTGCCTCCAGAGCTCACCTGAGAAAATGTTGCTAACAAGAAGCCATGCTTGACTAGTTCTTTTGTGTTTAGAATCCCTTTTTAAGCTTTTGTCACGTTTTACATGGAAAATTTTGCCAAACATGGGGGTGCCACATGTAGTTGAATGTTTTTCTGTGTCCCACTGGTCTCCCTGGACTAGTTTCTCTTCTGCTTATGGGCCCCACAGCTGCTTATAAAATAATCACTTAGAAGACAATAGTAAGTATAATTGTTTGGCCAATGGCTCGGGCTTATTACTGGCTAGCTCTCTCATATAAGTTAACCCATCTGTGTATCACCTCGTGGCCATGGCTTACTGGTGATGTCCTGGTATCTTACCCCTTTGGTGGTTACATGGCATCTCTCTGACTCTGCCTTCTTTCTTTCACTATCTCTGTTTGGATTTCCACCTACCTATATTATGCTTGGCCATTGGCCAAATCAGCTTTATTTATCAACCAATAAAAGCAACACATATTTACAGCATACAGAGGGACATCCCACATCAGTAGAGTACTCACATTATATGTTTAAGGTTATGGATGCAATCCCCAGCACTACAAAAAATATAAGTAAGAAAAGATTTAAAAATTATCCTTCCTTTTCAAAGTCCTTTTAGATGCAGTGCACACAGCCTTAAAAATTAGGAAGGCTTGTGGAGCTTTAAGAGTGGACACAAGCATCCACTCTTTTTCTGCTGCGGAGTGCTGAGCCTTAGCAGTAAGCAGAGGTCCATGTCCATGTCCTGACTTTTTTTAATGAAACAGATGATCACAGTCAGTAACTATGGAAAGTGATATTCTTAGCAACATCAGGAGTATGTGATGTCACTCAGAAAGCTAGGCCACATAATCAAAATCATCTTCAAAACAGGACATCTCCCGTCAGCCTAGACAGACTCAAGTGTTTGTGCGTCTGTCTGAAGAGCACTGGCAGTTAGTACTTGACATCTGTAGTGGGATTTTTAAAGTATTTTCACTTTATTAATTATAGCTTTATTATAAACAATGAAAAATCAAGAAATTCATTAATTGAAGCAGAATACTGGCAAGTATTATAAAATTCCACAGGAAAAAAAAAACAGCAAAGGCAAGTCTATGACCCTCAGATCATATTATTGCATATTATGGTTTATGTGTAAAATGCTCCCAGAAGACTCGTGTATTTGAGAACTGTGTCCCCCTACAGTTTGGGGAATTATGGAACCTTTATAAGCTGGGCTCTGCTCGAAGGAAATGACACACGATGGGACAGCTTTGGGGGTTGCGGCCCAGCTCCACTCTGGCTCCAGCCCATTCCCCGGTGTGCCACAGCCTTCTCTACCTGTGTGGTCTGCATGTCTAAACTATCAGAATCAGTCCTTCCTTGAGGTACTTCTTTCAAGTGCTTTTTCTCCCCAACAAGAAACAAGTACACTGAGAACCCAGTGTGTGCCAGATGCTGTAAGAATCATGTGTGTCAGTTATGTGAGAGGATTCCAGTTCTGAAGCATGTAAGACCATTGAGGGGAGGTGTCCTTATCAATGCACACTAGTTGTAAGTTTCATTCAGTGGTCATATCTGGGGCTAGGGAAATTGCTCAGTCAATAAAGTGCTTGCCTTGAAAACAGGGGGACCTGAGTTTGAACTCCAGAACTCACATACAATATGAGATGTGAAAGAAATGCCCCCCTTGTTATCCCAGCTCTTGGGAGGCGAAGGCAGGAATATCTCTGGGACTTGCTGGCCAGCTAGGCTAACCTGACTAGTGAGCTCCAAGTCAGTGAGAGAAAAGGAGATGGTTGGTATTCCTAAAGATGGCATCCTCTGGCCTACACACACAGATAAACACGCGTGTAAATTCATGTGCACAAACATTAACATGGACATATTTTAAAAAAAATAGTCACATCTATCCAGCTAGACAAAACTTCTCAGCATCGAGGCTCTTTTTCTTGTACTTTATGTCTTCTAGGGAAGAAAAAAAATTAAATGTGTGTCAAGTCCTGTTTAAAGATTGCAGATTGGCATGGAAAGTAGGTATGGGTGAGGGTGCTGGAGAGATGGCTCAGCAATTAAGAGCGCTTGCTACTTTTCTCTTGTACCCATGCTCAGTTCCTAGCACCCGCAGCAGACAGCTTACAACTACCTGTAGGTCCAGCTTCAGGTGATTTGATGCCCTCTTTTGGCCTTCGCAGGCACACACTCGCACACACACATATAAGTCTTTTTCAAAAACGTTATGAAACCGTTTAGAAGAACAAAGGGGGCAGATAAGAGGGAAGAGAGGTGAGAAAGGTGGATGTCAGAAATGGGAGGGAAATATGTCCGACATACAGCGTATACATGCATGAAAAGTTTAAAGTGTACAAACAAATAAATTTAGTGTTAAGGGGTTGCATGGCAACCATATGTGAAGAAATAAAAAGCCTGTAGCCAGGGATTGTGAGTGAATTCCAGGCCAGCAGAGCTACATAGCAAGACCATGCCTCAAAGGGCACAGAGGAAAAGAGGAGGAGGAATATGGAGGAGGAAACGGATCAAGAGAAACAGGAAAAGGAGAAGATTCTCAGCCTCCAGAGAGGGTTTGGGAATCAGAATAGCATTTGACCTCCTCAGCAGCAGCAGCAAGACCACATCAGCATCTACAATAGTTTGTCCAGAAATGACTTGCTGCCTCTAATCCAACAATCAGATAAGCAGTGAAATCTAAAATGGAGGCTGGGGAGATAGCTCAGTGGCTAAGGGCACTACCTGCTCTCCCAGAGGACCCAGGTTCAATTCCCAGCACCTACGAGGCAGCTCACAGCCCTCTATAACTTCACTCCCAGGGGATCTGAGGCCTCTTCTGGCTTCTACTGAACAAGGCACATACACAGACATACGTGGAGGCAAACATCCATACATATAAAATAAAAATTAAAAACAAAGTATAAAGAAGCATCTGTATGTGTCTTTGACCATCGCGGAAATACAAACCAAATCATATTAGGGGACCAAGTGGCTACACTCAGACCCCATTTTACCTCAGTGAGAATGGCTGTCATCATGAAAGCAAAACAATGGCAAGAACACCATGAAAAAAGAATTCTTATGTTCTACTGGTGGGGATATAAATGAGTACAACCGTTATGAAAAGCCATGTGGAGGCTTCAGAGACAGTAGAAGTGGGGTTCCCACTTGCCACAGCTGTAGCACTCCTGAATATAGACCCGAAGGAATCAAAGTCAGCATTCAGACTCTTTGTAACCGCGCCCTCCAGGAGCTGCAGGGGCAGTGGGCCCGTGGTCTACCTTCCAGCTTTAGCAGATTCTGAACTGCTTACATGATTTCCTCACCGCCCTCTCTTCAGCTGCTGCCAGCCAAAGCCACACCGCTCAGCATGTTTAAGTGGCAGCCCCTCCCCCCACATCACTACTGGAGTGATTAGGAGCCTGGACTCTGCTCACAAGGCTTTGCTAGAATATTCTCCCACTCTGAATATCGAGTTCCTACTCCACCATCGGCAGTTTCCATCAATATCACACAACCTGTGCGTTGTCTGGTAGTCAGAACCTCCCTTCAAACACACACAGATGGCTCCTGCTGGCCTGCCTTCCTTGTCCTGTGCTACTAGGGTCTCCATCTCCAAGGAAACACACGTAGATAGAGCTAAGACTCCAGAAGGCAGGATGAAGAAGCACATTCCTTAGATGAATGTTCGCCTAATTCATATTCTGCTTTTTTGTTTTGATTTCTATGCAGATTTTCCTGGTTTTAGGTGCAATGTGCCTTCTGCTGTCCATTGGACATGGCATTTGGGAGAGCAACAAAGGCTACTTCTTCCAGGAATTTCTCCCATGGCAACATTATATTGCTTCATCGGCTACAAGTTCTGCCCTCGTTTTCTGGTCCTACTTCATAGTCCTCAACACCATGGTTCCCATTTCCCTCTATGTCAGGTAAGGCATCTTTGATTGTTGTTTGTGGGGCAGGGGATGACACTATACTTCTTGTTTTAATAACCAACTAGAGTGTGATCTTTTAGAAAGTATGTACTATCATCTTTATTTTTTAAAGACAAGAGCTTGCTATGTTGCCCAAGCTGACTTCAAACTTCAGATCCTCCTGCCTCAGGCTCCATAGTCCTAGCTCACTATGTATCCTTTGTTTCTTTTCTTTCCACAGGCTTAGTGTATCAAATACTCTGAGGAGTAGCTAAAAACTGCATAAATATTTTTCATGTCTAGAACACTGTGCTAGATAGTATATGATTTATAATAGGATAATTTTCTGTGCCCTTAAGTAACCTGTAAGTGACTAGATAAGACATGCAAACACCTGAAACAAATAGTAAAAAGAAGCACAAACTTGGTATTGCTTAATTATGCCAGGCAGCCTTCCCTTGTCAATGAGGCAGATCCTAAACATTCGCTCTCCGGTCAGCTATGCAGAATGAAGAATATATTTTCCCATTTAAAAAAAGAGAGAGCGAAAGTAGAAAATAGGCAATATAGTTTCAACAATGAACCCACAGGCTCTTACATGTGAATGCTTAGCAGGGCTAGAGATGAGGCGTGGTCTTGTTAGAGGAGGTGTGTCACTGGAGGTGGGCTTTGAGGTACAAAAGCCCATGCCAGGCCCCGTATCTCCTTCTCTCCCTGCTGCCTGTGGGTCAGGATGTAAAGCTCTCAGCTCCGGGGCCATGCCTGCCTGTGTGCCCCATGTTTCCTGATGTGATGATAATGGACTCACCCTCTGAAACTGTAAGCCAGCCCCTAATTAAATGCTTTCTTTTATAAGTGTTGCCTCCTTGGTCATGATATCTCTTTTTAAAAAAAAATAGAATGCAACTAAGACAATAGTTATAAGTTGAGTTCCCCATATAAGTTTTCTTTTTAAAAAATTATAACTTTATTTCGTTTATTATTCTGAATTAAAGTTTTCTAAGTTTTCATAATGTTTGGAATATGCTGTAATAGTCCCTATTTCATCTCTAATTTTATTAGTTTGAATGTTTTTCTTTTTCCTTTGATTATTATGGTTAGTTGTTTGTAAATTTTATTTATCTTTTCAAAAAAACAACTGTGTGTGTGTGTGTGTGTGTGTGTGTGTGTGTCCTCTTTTCCATGTCTCCTAAAACATGGCCTCTGATATCCCAACCCAGAAAGCATTTTTCATAACTGAATTTCCACCTAGTTTGGGCCAAGTCCTCTACTAGGTGCTAGGGATAGAAAACTGAGCAATAAGACATCACTTTCTCTAAAGAATCTTGCTCTTAGCTGAGGAAACCAATAAATAATTACGGTACAATATGAAAATTCTGTAATCAAAATATGCATGAGTATTGTAAACACTTTAAGAAGGAATATATCAGTTCTTCCCAGGGAGGCTTAGGGCGGTTTGTAGGAAAGATAATTCTCAAACTGTATTTGAAAAATAAGTCCATAGGTACAAGGGGCAGAAATTTCCTCAACGTTGGACCAAGGTGTTACATCCTAAAGAATATAAATTACAAGCAAAGGAGTTTGGATTTTATCCTAGAAGCAGTAAAGACCCAACCAAGACCTTCCTAAGAAATAATGTGAATTATTAATATAATTATATACAACTATATAATATTACATAATATAAATATCATATGATAATTGGTATATTAATTATAGTAATATTTTGTTTATGATATAACAAATAAAGCTTGCCTGAAGATCAGAATGCAAAGCTAGCTGGCCACAGCCATAGAGTGGTGGTACACACCCTTAATCCCAGCGTTCAGGAGACCAACGCAGATGGATCTCTGTGAGTTCAAGGCCACCCTGGGCTACATGAGAGTGGATCATGTAGAGAGTCTAAAAGAGAAACAGAGCTCACACCTTTAATCCCAGCACTAGGGAGGTGGAGACAGGGGTGATATGGCTGGGCAGAGAGTGGAATGTAAGTAAGGCAGGAGACAGGAACTCAGTGCAGTCTGAGGTTTGGTGGAGAGCAGTGCAGTCTGGAGATGCAGTCTGGGGACAGGATCGCCCTTTTGGTCTGAGCATTGTTAGAGGTAAGAACTCTCTAGTGACTGGCTGCTTTGCTTCTCTGAACTTCAGCTTCAAACCCCATATCTGTTTCTGGATTTTTATTATTCATGCTACAATTAATTATATGATATGTTGTTTATGCATTCTATAATATAATGTGTTATATTATTATAATAAACTCTCCCTGTACATGACACAATCTCTCGAGCTCTAAATACTTTTTAAAAATCTGAAAATGGGAACTGGAGAGGTGGCTCAGTGTTTAAGCTCTCCTCCTGCTCTTATAAAAGATCAAAGGCTCAGTTCCTGGCACCTACATGGTAGCTCACAAAGATTTGTATTTCCAGCTTCAGGGGATTTAATGCCCTCTTCTGACCTCTGAGGAAACCAGGCAACATGGTGCACACACATACATGCAGGCAAAACAAAAATTACAATAAGAAAATTAGAATTATCTAAAGATAAACTACAATAAGAAGCAGACACGTGAGGAAAAGAGAAGGACAGACAAGTTGGTTCACCTTGGGATACAAAGATCAAAAAATGTAATACAACACATAAACAGACTTGGCAGAAGTCACATGATCATCTCCGTAGATGCAGAGAAAACTGGAGGGGTAGTTGTACACCAGGGACCCAAGATGTTTCCTCTCAAATGGAAGCCTGGGCCCTTGCCACTTTTCCAGTACCTTTGACTCAGCCGAAGATGGCTTAAATGGGAGCATCACCTTCAGGACACATTGATGGATGTGGTTTGAGTCACTGAACTTAAGCAAGATCAGCAAACAGCTATCCTAATTTCAGGCCCACTCCCAAGAACTCACTTTTAGGAGCCGGGTTGGGTATTGGGCCCCTCATCTTCTAGTATTATGTTTTCAAAACAGAGAGAGAAAGGAAATATTTATCCAGGAAGGAAGATTGGGCTGAATATTTAACCTCTGGTATTAACTTTGCTGTATTCTTGAATAAATAAATCTTCTACTTATCGCTGAAGCAAAGAGAAAAAATTTGAGGTTAATACCCCTTCATAATAGAAACCCTGAAGAAAATGGGAAAAGGAAAACACCTCAACACAGTAAAAGCTGTGTGTGACAAGCCAACAACCAAAATCATAGTAAGTGGGAGATGCCGACAGCGTTTCCTCTAAAACCTAGAGTGAAACAAGGGTGCCTACTCTCTCCACTGGTTTGGGGTCTTTTTTCATATATATGTATGTATAGAATGCATGTGTATACATATATGCATGTACACATATGTGAGGGGTGCTGCTTACATACTTATGTGTGGAAACCAAAACTTAGTACCATGAGTTTTCCTCAGTCACTCTCCACCTTATTGGTTGAGATGGGTCTCTTGTTGAGCCATCTCAGCTGAACCCAGAGCTCACTGACACAAACTAGTGTAACTAGCCTGCTTGCTCTGGGGATCGCCTATCTTCACCGTTCAAGTACGAAAATTACAGGCGGGTCACCAGACCCCTCAGCTCTAATCCTTGCAATCGCATAGCAAATGCTGTATCATTAAACCATCATCCTAGCCCTTCACTCTTGTGCAATATAGTCTTTGGAGTCTTATCTAGACCAATAAGACAGGAAAGAGAAATAAAAGAGATACAATTAGGAAAGGAAGTTAAATGGTCCTTATTTGCAGATGACATGATAGTATAAAGACACTAAAGACTTCACCAGAAAAGTCATATCTAATTTAAAAAGCAGTTATAAAAGTATCAGGATACAAATGCAAGACAAATTAGTAGCTTTTCTATAAACTAATAATAAAGTTTTCAAGTAAGGAATTGGAGGGAGGGGTTCTTATTCACAGTAACTCAAAAAAAATAAAACTAAAAATTCAACCTATCTAAGGAGGAAAGACCTCTACAATGAAAATTTTTAAACATTTAATAAATAAGACACCAGAAGATGGAAAATCCTTCTGTTCTTCTGTTCTGGCAGAATTAGTATTATGAAGTCAGTAGTTCCAAAAGGAGTTTTGCAGATTCAGCACAATCTCCATCAAAATTCCAATGACATTCTTAATGACCCTAGAAAAAAAGTACTAAAATTAATGTGGAAGTATAAGAGACTTTGAGTAGCCCAAACAGGAAAACAAAAACCAAATAAGCAAAAGCCCAATGCTGGGGTTTCACCATGTCTGATCTCATATTGTAGAGCTATAGCAACAAAAACAGCATGACCCTGGCACAGGAATAGATTTGGTGATTAGTGGGGTGAGAGAGAAGACCTAGAAATCAGTCCCCACAACCACACCCAACTATTCCTTAATAAATGTGTCAAAAAATTCACTGGAGGAAATTGTGTGGTAAGCAAAGTAAGTCAGACTCAATTACTGCATGTCTTCTTTCCTATATGGAACCTAGATTTAAGTGTGTGTGTGTGTGTGTGTGTGTGCGCGCGTGTGTAAGGGGGAAGAGGAGATTTTAAGGGAAGAGGCAAAAAGAGGGTAATGAAATGGATTTGGCCTGAAAGCAGAATTCATGGACAATTCATGGGAAGTAAAGGGAGTAGGAAGAGGGTAAAAAGACAGAAGCCAGTGGGGCAGGGGCAAACAAGAACAAAATATTATGAAAATGCCATATTGAAGCTCATTGTTTTGTATGCTTACTCAAAATGTGACCCTGGCTGGCTCGGAACTCACTCTGTGGACGAGGCTGGCCTCGAACTCACGGAGATCCATCTGCCTTTACCCCTGAGTGCTGGGATTAAAGGTGTGTGCCACTATGCCTGGATGTATGCTCACTTAAGATTGATGCACTGCAATATGTGAGAACCACTGATATGGAGGGAGATCAATCGGAGACAGACCACAGTGGCCCAGTGCTGCCTGGAAATAGATCAAAGGATGAAACCATAAAGCCACCTCTGGTTTTCACAGCATCTTTCTTTTTCCCGAAACAAGAAATATCTGACTATTGCAAGTTTCTCTCATTCCAATGTGACCACAGTAAATAAAAAGCTTTTTTTTTTTTTACATAAGCTTTTGTAAATTAACTGCTACTTCAAAGATATATTTTAATTGACTTTCTCTAAATACAATGCAGAAGATGAATGGAAGCAAAGTATGTCTCAGACAAATTTATCAGGGTCCTGATGAGAAAACCTTGCAAAATAGCAGTCCAGGTCAGAGTTATAATGGGCTGGCTATCATGGAAAAGTCCTTCAGAAGGTACACCCCCAGGGAAGACACTTTTTCCACATGCAGACCCTCACCTATCATGGACCTATAGGAAGGAAACCAAAATAATATATTTGCTTGTCCTGCTCTGACCAGGACCCTTTTTTTTCTTGCTTTCTTCTTAGTGTTGAAATAATAAGACTGGGCAACAGTTACTATATCAACTGGGATCGGCAGATGTTTTATGCACCAAAGAACATCCCAGCACAGGCTCGCACCACCACTCTTAATGAAGAACTCGGCCAAGTTAAGTATGTGTTCTCTGACAAGACAGGAACTCTGACTGAGAATGTGATGGTTTTCAACAAATGCTCTATCAATGGGAAGACCTACGGTATGTGCACATTACTGCTCTCCCTGAGTCTGAGGGGGAGTCTGTCCGACAGACTGCTTTCAAATATAACTACATCTACAAAGCCTCTGGAATCATATTTATTTATATTAAATTGCATTAAATTATTATATATTAAATTATATTATAGATTAGATTTATTCTCACAACCCTTTATGAATGAAGCTGGGAGTGGTCTTCCCCAGAGAACTGCTCACCAATAGGTTGCCCAGTGCCAAAAAGCCCTAAAAACTAGTAACATTATATGAACTCAACAGGTTACATTTAGGGATATATATGTATATACAAATACATATATTCATATGATAGTAATTAGTGAAAAAAAGAGGCCATGAATCTGAAGGAAAATGGGGAAGATTTATATGGAAATATCTAAAGGGGGAAAGAGAAGGGACAAATAATACAATTAGATTATAATCCAACAGAAACATATTTATTGGCACCTGGTATATACAATCCATTTTTTTGTACTCAAAGACCAAGATTTACTATTTTAGTCCCTATCTTCAAGGGGTTCCCAATGTCTCAAAGAAAAATAATATACTCAGTTACTTTAATACAAAATCAGATGGATATTGGTTAAAGAGTAGAAAGTTGTCATAGAGCAAGAGTAAGATTTTGAGTCTATTGTAGATTATAGCAACCAAACACAGTTAACAACAATGTCTTGTATGCTTCAAGCTCCAGACTGATAAAAGACCTTGTCTGAAAAAAAAAAATAAAAGAAGAAGAAGAAAGAAAAGAAAAATGTGGATGGAATGCCCTAAGGAATGACATCCAGGCTGTCCCCTGGCCTCCACACACAAGTGTATATGTGCATGCATACACCAAAAAAAAAAAAAAAATAGTAAAATAAAGCCTTCTTTTAAATTACCCAGTAATCCCCTTCCTAGATATCCTCCTAAAGTGGAAAAGAGGTTAAAACAGGTATTTGCAAATATTCATTGCAGCATTATTGCTCAAAGGTAGAAATAGCCTATCTACTCATCAACAAATGAATAGACATTTTCAAGTAGTCTATAAATAAATATATGTAATATGATTTGGTCATAAAAAATTATAAAGTTTGGTACCTGGTACAACCCATGTTATAAACCTCAAGAACAGTATGCTAAGCGCATAAGTCAAACCAAAAGACATATGGCATGGTTTTCCTTAGGTGACGAATCTAGAACAGGAAAGTCCACAGAAATAGAAAGCAGAGAGAAGTGGCTAGGGACTAGAAATGAGGAGGGATGATGAGTTTCTATTTCAAGTACTCATAACGTGTTGAGGGCTGGAAATGTAGTGGTAGAGCGACTACCTCACATGCCAGAGGCTCTGGGTTTGATCCTCAGCACTGCCAGAAAAAGAAAAAAGAAATGTACTGTAAATATATGGTAATGATAATTGCATAACACTGTGGATGTAATTAATGCTGCTGAATTTTAATTTAAAAACAGTTAAATGGCAGGTGTATAGTATCCACAGTAAGTTTGAAGACCTCCATTAAATCCTTCACTAAATCTCTGTTCTATTCACTTGCTGATAGGTTATTGCTATGACGTCAATGGACAGTGTGTTCCAGGATCTCCAGTGAGTAATTACAGCTTCTTGTGACATACATGTGGGAAGTGAAGAGAGTATCTTTTACACAATTCAGTCTGTACTCCTGGGATAATAGGCTTTTAATGACCTAATTTTAAAAAAAAAAAAATGTGTACACTTGGCCTATCTTTACATGAGAAATTTTTATGAGAACAGTTTTGTTGGTATTGGCTTGTGTTTTGTTTCACATCTCCTCCTCCCACCCTCTTTTTCTCAATATCTCTCTCTCTCTCTCTCTCTCTCTCTCTCTCTCTCTCTCTCTCTCTCTCTCTCAACAGAATCTATATAGATCAGTTCCTCACAACAATTCATGATCATTGTCTTAGATAGTGTTCTATTGCTGTGAAGAGTCACCGTGTCGAAGGCAACACTTGGAAAAGGAAGCATTTAAGCGGGCTTACTCGGTTTCTGTGAGTTAGTCTGTGATCATTAAGGCGGGAAGCAGACAGGCCTGGTGCTGGAACAGTAGCTGAGAGCTTTACGTCCTCATCCACAAGCAGTGGGCAGAAGGAGAAACACTGAAAGCTCAGAGCCCATCCCCAGCAGCACACCTCCTCCAATAAGGACACACTTTCTAATCCTTCCAAACAGTTCATCAACTGGGAGCCAAGCATGCAAATAAATGAGCCATGGGGGCCGTTCTCATTCAACCCACAACATCTACTCCCTGGCCCCCATAGGCTTGTAGCCATGTCTTAATGCAAAATGCATTTAGTCCAGTTTCAGAGGTCCCCACAGTCTTTCACAGCCTCAAAACGGTCTCTGAGACTCAAGGCAATTTCTTTACTCTAAGATCAAAAAGCAGATCACATACTTCCAACTTAAAATGCCACAGACTATACGTTGTCATCGCAAAAGTAGGGAAAAGTGGCAGAGAGGACATACTACACCAAAATGTGATGGCTATTCCTGGTTTGCAACTTGACTACATCTGGAATTAACTAAAGCCCAACTGGATGGGCACACCTGTGGGATTTTTCTCAATTAAATAATTTTTTAAATTATTTTTGTTGGTTATTTGGGAATCTCACATCATGCAGTCTGACATTTTTACCTCCTAGCCCTCCCACATCTGCTCTTCCTGTAACATACCTGCCTGCCTCGAGAAAAAGGTACATTTTGTGTTGTCTATATATTCACTGGCGCATGGTTACATTCCTAGTGACCAGCCCCCTAAGGGAGGATGAGTCTTTCTCTGCCTGCATCCATGCCAGAAGTCACCAACCGAGGAGAGCCGTGTGGTGGCCTGAGCCAGTTCTCACTCACCCTGCCCATGGGATTGTCGGCACTGCTGTGAGGCTGCTACCAAGGGCAGGGCCAGCTCTCATCCACATACAGATGTTAACATGGCCTCAGGAAGCATCCCAGACCACAAGCATCCACATGGGCTTCAGTAGTAACATGGGCCACAGACATCAACACAGGACCACTGAGCCACTCACGGACCTTAGCAGGTGGCTCAACCACAAGCCTCAACATGGCCTCAGGTGGTTATATGTGTCACTCACGTCAGCATGGTGCCCAAAGGTCACTAGGGGTGACAGTGAGTAGAACTATTCCCTTTCCCACCCCTTGATTCCTGGACCTGTGGATCCTGGCTTGGGAGAACTCATACCATGTATTAGACACTCATTCAAAGCGTACACCGCCTTCTGGATAGCTGTGCCCCAGCCCTCCACGCTGCTGCCACCCAACTGGCACTGTAACTGTGTCTTCAAAAGTCAATTCCATCTTTCTATCAGGCCAGCTGCCTTTGATGGTGGGGAACATGGTAAGGCCCCTGGTTCCCATGAACAAGGGCCTCCGCCACAGTTCTGTGGTGGCGAAGTGAATTCCTTGGTCAGCAGCAATGCTGTGTGGAATACATTGGTGGATCAGGCATTCTCTAAATCCAAGGATGATGGTTTTGGCAGAAGCATTACAAGCAGAAAAAAGAAATCTGTAACCAAAATAAGTAGCTACTCCAATAAGGACAGAGCATTGTCCTTTCCACAGAGGAAGTGGTCCAACATAGTCAACCTGCCACCAGTAGCTGGCCTATCCCTTGTGGAATGGTACCCTTTCTGGAGGTTGTGTTGGTCTCTGCTGTTGGCAGATCTGTCACTCGGCAACAGTTGTAGGCAGGTCAGCCTGGAGAGCAGAAGTCCATGTTGTTGAGTCCATGCATAACCTCTATCTCTGTCACCATGGCCACTTCGTTCCTGGGCCCACTGAGCAATGACAGGGAAGACTGCGGATTATCTCTGGAGTGCAAAGATCCTATAGGGCAGTGGTTCTTAACCTTCCTAATTCTGGGACCCTTTAATATAGTTTCTCACATTGCAGTGACCCCCAACCTTAAGATTGTTTCACTGTTATTTCATAACTGTAATTTTGCTACTAGTATGAATCATCATGTAAATATTTGATCTTCAGGTTATCTAATATGTGACCTGAGAAAGGACCATGACCCATGGATTGAAAACTATTGCCTTAGGGTTTCTCTTGGTGCTGCCATGTCCTGTGATTAATGTCAATGGGAAATGACAACAGCCTAATCCAGGCGAGATAACAAAGGGCGCAGCCCCTTGAGAAATGAAGGTGTGGGTCACGCCAGGAAAAGAGCAGGCCCTGCTGAGGTGCTTGCTAAGGGCAGAGGGAATGCAGAATGGATAGCAGAGGAAGGTAGCTATAAATACCGCTAAGGCCATGTGACCAGTTACAGAAACAAGGATTACAACTGACATGGGTGTTTGTGTCATATTTTGTTAAGAATATATTGTACAGATGTTTTTCTCTTAATTTCTTTGTCATATAATTAACAATAATTAAGAGAATGACAGTGGTTATCATATTTAAGTTTAAAAGAATGACCCTTAAGGGACTTTCTAAATTTATAACGTGTTTACAGCTATATGAAGGATAGTTATATCATATTAGGCATAATTATGACCTGATTAAATGTATAATATGTTTGTGATTGTATATAGATAATTATATCATGTTAGGCATAATAGTGACCTCGTTATTGTTTTCACAACATAAGGAGCTATGATTGTATATCAGGTTGATGAGGGGTGGACTTACGGTGGCTATTCTTGTGATGGGTTCTTGGTTGTCAATCTGACTACCTCTGGAATTAACTAAAACCTAGTGGCTGGGTGCACCTGTGAGGGTTTTTTTTCCTTAAATCGTTTGAAGGGTAAAGGCTCACTTTTAATATGGGTCTTTTGAGGTGGGAAGAATAAGGAGGTTTGTTCTCTTTGCCCACTTGCCCTCAGTCCCCAGTAATTCGATCCCATCGGTGGCATTAGAGCCTACTTCTTCGGGATCCTGGTGTATACTAAAGACAAACTGAATAACTACTGGATTCTTGGACCTTCTGTTGGTAGACAGTCATTGTTGGACTTAGCCTGTAAGCCATTCTAGTAAACTGCCTCTCTCCCTCCCTCCCTCTCTTTCTGTTGTCCACTTTTTTCCTCTATATATGTATACATACATATAAATTACATTTATATGTAAATATAATATATAAACTTATATATATATATATATATATATATATATATATATATGTTATGTGCAGTTTTCCCACCAGCCTGGTCCCACAGTCACATCATCTCCAAATAACACACAGAGATGCAGTATTAGATATAAAGCTGTTGGCCTGTTACTAGCATTTCTTGTTGCCTAGCTCTGTCTTAAATATTAACCCATTTTTATTAATCTAAGTGTTTCCACATGGTCTTATCTTACCCGAGAGAGGGTCTGGACTTCTCTCAACTCCCTACATCTTGACTCTCCTCCTACATCTCCCAGAATCCTCCTTGTCTCCTTGTAATGCCTATCTTGTCTTCCTATTAGCCAACAGTGCTTTATTCATTAACCAATAAGAGAAACATATTTACAGAATGACATCTCCCATCATATATTCTATAAGTTGTATTCCTCTACATAACCCTGACTAATACACAAAGTAAAACAAAACCAAAATCCAGCAAGGCAAATTCAACTTAGGTCTTAAAGAATATACCTACTGTGTGAGTTACTGTTCTATTGCTATGAAGAGACACCGTGACCAGGGTGACACTCCACACCTTCTTCCTTCCTTCCTTCCTTCCTTCTTTCCTTCCTTCCTTCCTTCCTTTCCTTCATTTTTGTTTTGTTTTAATTTTTTGAGACAGGGTTTCTCTGTGTAACAGCCCTGGTTATCCTGTAACTCACTTTATAGACCAGCCAGGCTGGCCTCAAACTCAAAGAGATCGTCCGCCTGCCTCTGCCTCCTCATGCTGGGATTAAAGGTGTGTGCCACCATGCCATGTATACATTGTGTAAGGTTCATGTCAGGGTAAATATATCCCTCAAGCATTTGTCATTTCTTTGTTTAATATATTCAGAATGCTCCTTTTTTGGCTTTTTGAGATGTATAGCACAATTGGTCCTCTCTAATGACACTCTTAGGAAGGACTCTTACTCTTCACCTGCCCCTGTGGCTTAGTATCCACATCTCCATGCAGTATCTCATTAATTAATTTACCAGGCTATGATTACCAATTAGGCTGAATCATTGTGTATCCTTCTGTCCCCTCACATATCTCTTTATTGCCCACTTTTTTTTTTTTAGGTCTATTCATGTTCTTTCCCTCCATTCTTACTTGTCAGTGGTCTTTATATAGTAAAAATAATTCTTCCTTTCACTAGCACATTTGTTAGCACTATCATTCTCATTTTATCTTTAAGTCTTTAGGTCCTTACTGTTTTAATTACATTTGTATTTGTTTGAGAGAGTGCTGTCACAATGTGCTTGTGGAGGTCAGAGGATCATTTTCAGGAACTTGTTCTTCCTTTCTACCATGGGGTCCTGGGGGTCAAATTCAAGTTGCTGAACCATCCCGTTGGCTCTGTTTTTAGTGCATTTAAATATTTTTCTGTGGGAGCTAAAGAGACAGCTCAGCCGTTAAGAACACTTGCTGCTCTTTGAGTAGACCTGGGTTCAGTTCCAGCACCCACACGTGGTCCACAACCATCTGCAACTCCAGTCCAGGGTTTCTGACACTCACCAGGCATGCACATGGCCCACTTACAGACATTCAGGCAAATATTCATATACAAAATAAAAAATCTAAATGGTTCTAACATACAGTTTTGAAATTATGTTCAAATATATTGACTTTTTTTCCTTTGTTGACACATTGTGTACTAGTTATAAAACCATCTGTCTCTATCTAGTTTGTTTTATTGTTTTTCTCAGTACCGGAACTCAGTTTTTATGTGTGGGTTTGATTTTAAATATCTCTTTTTAGAATGTCTACCCTTGTATTATCCCTGCTTGCTAGATCCTTAGGCACTTACATGCAGCTAACTCTGAGTGGCCATCTTATTCCTATCAATCCAAAGAATTGAGGTAGTAAATAGAAAAACAATCGGTGCTTTTATCAAAAACAAAACCTTGTAGTTGTGAGTCTCTATATTAATGATCATCTACTGAAGAAAGAGGCTTCCCTGATGAGAGCTGAACAATGCAATGTTAATTTAGCAGAGTAATACTAGTAATCTCTCCTCTATGGCCTGTGTCCTACCTAACCGTGGGTTCTTGGCGCTGTTAACAGTGCCAGGCCTGAGCCGAACTCCTGGAATCCAGTTGCAGAGAGGGAGGAGTAATGAGCAAAGGGGTCAAGACCAAGCTGGAGAAACCCACAGAAACAATTGACCTGAACAAGGGGGAGCTCATCCACCCCAGTCTGATAGCTTGGAAACCAGCATAGGACTGACCCAGACCCCCCTGAATGAGGCCTAGGCAGTCTATGGGGCCTCTGGTAGTGGACCAGTATTTATCCCTAGTGTATGAATGGATTTTGGGAGCCCATTCCACATAGAGGGATACTATCACAGCCTAGACACATGAGGGAGGTCCTAGGCCCTGATCCAAATGAAATGACAGACTTTGAAGAATCCCCATGGAAGGCCTCACCCTCCCTGGGGAGCAGAAAGGGGATGGAATAGGGGTTGGGGGGGAGACAGGGGAGGGGAGGAGAGGGAACTGGGATTGACATGTAAAACAAGCTTGTTTCAAATTTAAATTTAAAAATAAATGTCCAAACAAAACAAAAACACAGTGCCAGGCATGAATTCTGTCTTCTGGAACAGGCCTCAAATCCAATCAGAGAGTGGTTGGTCACTGTCATAACATTTGTGCCATGATTGCACCAGTGGGCATACTTTGCCAGGACAATTTTTTATTGTAGCTAGCAGGGTTAACAGTTGGGTAAGACTAATGAATACTTGTCTCCCCTAGTAGTGTACATAGCAACTCGCAGCTACAAAGCTATCAAGTAGGGAGGAAGCTTCTAGGCTGGTGGTAGCTTGATTTCTATTATCACATATTACTCCTCTGGGAGGAAAGATTTTTTTAAATTTACTTAGATCACTTTCCTGAGCTTCAAAATTATGTGTACAGTGGCAACTTACATTACTACCTGTGCAGGCAGTTATTCCACCGTCACAGACTTCCATACCCTACTGGACATCCTATCTTTACAGTAAAGAGTCTCACTTTCTATCTCACTCTCTGGTTCGAATAGGGAAATGTAAAATTGTTCTTAACTCCTTCTTTTACTCCTATGCCCCACGTTATACTAACTCCAGCTCCCTGGGTTTTCAAATTCATCTTTGATTTAACATTTGTGTTAGTTCTTTATCATTTCTCTTGTGAATCACTGAATAGTCTCCTAGCTGGTCTCCTTGTTTCATCTTGGTACTTTTAATATACTCTCCATACAGATTCCAGAAGACTTTCTGACAGATTTGATTGGTCACTCATTCTGGTGCAAAGTTGCTGTTATGCTATGTTCCAAATAATACCGCAATGCAGGAGCTGGCCCTTGCCTTTCTCTCCAATCTTATCTCCAGCCTGTTATTTCAGAGAATGTGACAGTTTAAGAGGGGAAAGCTGCTGTATAATGGTTTCTCTTAAACTTCTGAACCCACAAGCTCCTAAGAGTTCATGCCTTTATGGCAGGCTAAGTCTAGAGCTTGGATCTAGAGACTGCTTCCTCTGGGAAAACTCTTGCTAGATGAGATCTGCAGGAGAGCCAGCATAGGCTACTACAAACCCCTTTTCTGTATCATTATGCCAAGCAGAACAGCTGTGTGTGTGCTTGAATCCTAGGGCCCAGCACAGGCAATAGCACAACTAAGAAGAACTGGAGAAAGATTTGTGGGAATTCTGGTATGAACTGGGCAAGGATGTTAACAGACTGCAGTCTTCAGGCCAGTGTTTGCTCATGGCGACTGCAAGGAGTCAATGTCTGCAAGGCCAAGGTCATAAGCAGGCAAATAGTGAATTTTAGATCCACAGATTGGGGCAAGGACTAAATAGAAAAAAAAAAAAAAAAAAAAAAAAACTAGGTCAGACCATGAGAGTTAGAGGCAGGAAGAGCCAGGGATGTGTATAGGTCAGGCAATGTTAATACGTAAGCAAGAATGTACTGAAGCTTGCCACGTGGCATTTCCAGCATTCTTCCCCAGCCCACTTTTTCTCCATGGGACCTATCACAGTGATACCATTGTTCCCGGGGCCTATTCTTTCCTTAGTCCCCTAAATCAGACAGAAGACACCAGAAATAAGAATTTTCTCAGACACCAATTTCTAACAGAGAGCAGTTAGTGAAGGCAGGGTTTTAATGAGTTCACTAAATCCACAATAAAATGATAAGTAGGTGTTTCATTGGGGAAGCACTTACACAGATAAGAATAAATAACTGATACCTTCCTGCTCTAGAAGATGCAGTCTCTGCCCTTCCGATGCCCTCTGCCACACAAGAGATTGCGCACCCGCAGCTCCTCTACCTTAAAGAGGTCACATCTTCACCTGAAACTATGCCCAAAGAGTGTGACCACGACAAGTTTACTGGCAAGGCTAGATGCCACTACAATTCCCCTTTTTGTCTGAAGAAGACAGTTTTAAGCCTGATACAAAAACTATATCAAAGATAACAAATGTCAAGTATATTACAGGAGAAGGAAAGATAAAAACATACCCAAGTAGACCTACAACCAGCAAGAGCAACGCTGAGCAGTAGACAAATTCTACATGTCCAGTTTCAGGGTAATAGCATATAATAGAGATTATTCTGATTGCTGTCCTAATCTGGAAAGTCTAAGTCTTGTACCTAGTATTTTCTATCTAAGATAAGAGAGGATATTAGCTGTGACTGTCTAGTCTTCAATCTCATCAAAGACCTGAGGAAAAAAAAATGACATTACTAGGGTAAACAGGAAGTACAAGCGTGTGACTTCCTAAAGGTGCAAACAATGACAGAAACAGCAAGCTACCTGAACAGTCACCCAAGATCTCACAGTAACGTCGAGGCAACCAACTTTGGATAAGGCCAAAAGTATCTGACAGACCAACACGGAAGCAGGGATATTGAAAGACTGTCCTACTCTGCCTTGGCAAGGTTCAGCAGTCTCTTTAAGTTTATCTCCTGCTAGCCCAGTTAGGATAGCATGTCCAAAGTCAGAGTTCGAGATGGGGGCAGTTCTATGCCCAAGAGACCAGTAGCCAAGGAGAGAACAAACTCCAAATGTAGTGTCATTGGTACCCATCATACTCTTGGAAATAGCTCGGTGCTGTCAGGAGCAATTGTGTCTCATGTCAACAGAGTTCTAAATTATTAAAACATTTAAATGTCATATTCTGTCAGTCTTAGAAGTGTTTGAAGATCAAATATCCATGTTGGGTACATCTCTGAGCACATCTAGAATCTGACTAACATCATAAGGTATAAGAAGCTTGGGTAACTATAATCTGTAATTCTCAGAAACATAATTGTTCAGTGACTGAAGCTTCCCAAAGCAATTTAAACAATCTTAAAACCAATGTGTAACATAAGGACAATGACCTCAAATTTATAAATATAACATATATATGTAAATCTCTAAAACAGAGGTAGAACTGAAATGTCTTGACCAGAGGTAGTACTGTGTGGTGCAACATGATAAAAATAGCCAAATTGTATCAATATACAAAATGTCTTAAGCACACATACATAGAATATGATAAAGATAGTTTTATATTTGTGCACTAAACATCATAAACAGAAAGAAGGCCCTACACAGTATGACAAAATATAATATGCAAATTATTCAAGACAGAAATACAAAGTTAATTTTACATAAGTTTCAACATAGAAGAATCTATAATAATATAAATTGTCTATAGCTAATAGTTGCTAAAATAGTTCACAAGAAGATATGTTAATCTACCTATATCCCATTCCATCCATACCTTTTAAACTTTTCTAAAAGAGATCCCCAAGTCTGACCAACGGCTAGCTCAGTCAGTAAAGCATGAGGCTCTCAATCTTAGGGTTATGGGTTCATGCCCCACGTTGGGCATCAGTTGAAGGTGGGGTTTAAATGAGTTCACTAGACCCAAGATAAAATGATAAGTAGGTGTCTTATTGGGGAACAACTGCCACAGATAAGAGTAAATAGCAGCCTTCGTGCTCCAGAAGACGCAGTCTATCTCCTTTTGATGCTGTCCGCCACCCAAGAGAGCGCGTGCCCACAGTTCCTCTACCTTAACGGGGTCACATTCTGTACCTGAAACCATGTCCAAAGGGCGTGGCCACCACTACAAGGCAAGATGCCACTACAAGTTAGTCTTCATATCCTCACACTTCATTATCAGATGGGTTGGGGAACTGGAAAAGTCAAATATCAAGATCACCATTGGTTGTTTAGAATAACAAGAGTGCAAGGGGGCAGGAGGTCCACCAAGCCATGTGTGTCCTGTGGGATGGTTCTTCCTGGTACAAACAAATGAACAGCCCAGGTCAGTAGGCACACCCTCATTGGTGCATTTGCCATCTCTCCTGCTCTCCCTTCTCACTTCCTGATAGATCTTGTCACAGCAGTAACCCCAACGTGGCTAAGAACTTTGCCCTGGTGTTTATATTCCAGAATAACAAGGTCGACTTCTCCTACAACCACCTGGCCGACCCTAAGTTTTCGTTCTACGATAATTCCTTGGTGGAAGCCGTGAAGAGCGGGGACCACTTTGTGTGCTTGTTCTTCCGCTGCCTGTCATTGTGCCACACGGTGATGTCCGAAGAGAAGATGGAAGGTGAGTATGCGCCTGAGCCCCATGGACTGGCACTGTGCTCCAAAGTCAGGACTGGTTGAAAGTGGGGTGGTGTGATACAGGCTGAGCCATCTAACCTAAGAAAGAACGTTCTAACAAGGGGGTACTGGCCAGCAGTGGAACGATAAACAAGGTGAGTAGCGAGCTGGTTTAGGGAAGGAGTCGGTCGCTGAACAGGGGTCAAACTTAGTGCCCTCTGAAGAGGTTTTTCTCTTGAGGCTCTCTGGGTTCTGAAACAGATCCACCTGGCCAGTCCCACTGTCTTTGATGAGACTTCCTGGAGGGTGAATTGAGTTGTCCTCTGGTCACTTACAGTGTGCCTCAGTTATCACCATGTACCTTAGTTTCTTTAGTATGACAAATTCATCCATTAATTTCCCAAATTTTTCAACAACAAATGAGAAATTACTGTTTATTCATTATTAAGTCTTTCTTCTTAAGACAATGTTTTTATTTTATTATTATTATTTTAAGTGTACGCATGTTTTGCCTACATGTATGTCTGTATACCACTTATGTGCCTGGTCCTTGAGGAGTCAGAAGAGGGCATTGGATTCTCTGGTACTGGAGTTACAGCACCATGTAGGTGCTGGAAATTGAATCTGGGTCCTTCTTTTTGAGGCAAGGTTTCTCTATGTAGACCTGGCTGTCTTGGAATTCACTGTGTAGACCAGGTTGGCCTCAAATTCACAGAGATCCTCCTGCCTCTGTCTCCTGGGTGCTAGAATTAAAGGTTTGCACCACCATGCCCAGCTTAAGATTTATTTTTATATATATGCATTTTGCCTGTAGGTATGTCTGTGCACCATGTACATGCCTGGTAAACCCCAAGTGTCCATTTGAGGGCATCAGATATCTTGGGATAGAGTTATAGATGGTTGTAAGCCAACATGTGGGTGCTGGGAATAGAACTCTGGTCCTTTCAATAAGCAGCCAGTGTTCTTAACCTTTTAGGGCTAGGCATGTAAGGAAGTTTTGAAGAAATATATCCCTTTCTGGGCTCCTCTATGTGAGCCACTTGAAATATGGTATTACCTCTGGGTGGACTTATGTTGCTCATCTCTGCAGGTTCTGTTACCTTTTTCTCTCGTCAGGTAAGCTGATGTACCAAGCTCAGTCACCAGATGAAGGTGCCCTGGTCACTGCCACTAGGAATTTTGGCTTTGTGTTCTGTTCCCGCACATCTGAAACAATCACAGTGATCGAAATGGGGAAGATCCGAGTTTACCAGTTGCTGGCTATTTTGGACTTCAGCAATGAGCGCAAGAGGATGTCTGTTGTTGGTGAGTGCTTCCCCCAACTCAGCTTCTCTTTTGTCCTTTGTGTACATTTGCAAATTGACTTTTTAAAATCTACACATAAATTCTTTCTCCCACTAACATGACTTCTCCCAGATATTTTGCCTCAAATGCACGTACTTCACCTCTTATCTCCTTTAAATTATGTCTTATATATACATAGGGACTCTGGTATTTCTGCTAGTGACTTGCCACTACCCTCAATTCTAAGATGAGGACATAAAATTAATCCATAAAGCATGTACATGGCATAAGAACTGGGAGCCATAATATAGGTGGCCCTCCTTGCTGAATATAGATTCAGCCAACTATAGATCAAAAAAAATTTTAAATATTTTGTGGCAAGTTCTAAGCCCCAGCCTCAGATAATAGTGAGACCCTGCCTCACAAAGCAAAACAAAAACAACTAAATATTCTGCATCAGATTCTTCCATGATGGATACTGAACCCACAGAAGAATTGTTTTGAAAAGTTTCTCTGTCACTATCTGGCCCTTACCATATGATCTATCCTATGTGACCACTCCATTGAGTTTTTAGCCTCCAGAGGTATCAGAAATAAATATTATGGGGAACAGCCCCCTTACATCCCTCAATGAACCCAGACAAATTCTTAAACAGTAGGCCTATGTGGTTATTTTTGCTTAATTTGCTCATCTTTAGTTCGGACACCTGAAGATCGGGTCATGTTGTTCTGCAAGGGAGCAGACAGCATCATATATGAGCTGCTCCATCCATCCTGTGCATCCCTTAGTGAGGTGACCATGGATCACTTGGATGTAAGTGTTGCGGTGGAAGCAGATGGGGCTGTGGGCGGTTCTCTACATCTGGACATATGGCCAGTAGCATGTTCCTGCGTTAGGGTGTTTCTGTATGGGTATGTGTTGGCATCCATTTTCTTTGCTTGACCAAAGACTATAGCTATTTTATTTTGTGGTATTCTCGCCACATTTCCAACTTCTGTGTCAAAGAACTATGTGGGACAAGACCTAGAGGTATAACAAGGGTCATATCTGTAAATCACATACAGTGATCAGAATAGTTCTATGATTCTTGCCTCTAGAGATCCTCCAGACCTGGTAATTGCTTCTGAATATGGTCTGCTAATATGGAACCCTTACTCCACAAGACATGATCCTTTTAGGGTACACAACAGAAAGCAAGCACTAGGCTATTTTAGTGACTATCTGGTATCAAATCCTTGAGGGCACCTTCCCTCTCTATATCTTATTCTGCTTCTTCCCACTAGCACTTGGGAGATACACACACACACACACACACACACACACATATATATATATAAAACAATGGCCTCAGCTTGCTGTCACAAGAAAGGGAAACCAGATCAATACACTCTGAGGTTTCTAACACTATACCTGTCTATGTAAAAGGCTAGCAGTATAAGGAAAGAACAAAAGTCAGGCTGGAGAATGAGGAGCAAATCAGTAAAATACTTTATGAAGTAGATTGTAGGAAATACGATTTTATTATGCATTAACACATAGAAATCAGAGAACAAATATCCAGTAAACACATGAAAAGATGCTTGACATAATTAGTTATTAGAAAAATACAAATTAAAAAAAAACATGAAATACTGCTTTTCCCTACACCAGGAAGTTTAAAACAGATGACCAGACCATAATAAATGTCATCTAGATGTAGGAAAGTATAACCCTCATACATTGCTGATAAAAAGGTAAAATAGCATGGGCATTGGGAAAACAGTCTTGCATTTCCTAAAACAATTAGTAATCACATGACTCATAAATTCCATTTCTAGTTTGTTTCCAGAGAAATAAAAACACACCCACAGAAAAATCATACATGAATGTTTACAGCAGATTATTCATGATTGCAAAATGGCTGGAGTAGCCCAAATGTCCATCAACAGGTAAAGGAATAAATAAAATGTACTTTTTTCCCTACAAAGCAATTTTTGGAAATGAAAGGGAATGAAGTACATGTTGCTATAGATGAACCTTGAAAACATGCTACACGGAAATAGCATTTTGTGATTCAACTTACAAATCTACAGAGAAAAAAGTAAATTCTGGCTAGGCTCAGCAGATAAAGCCTGATAAGCTAGCTGAGTCAGGATCCACACAGTGGAAGAAGAGAACTAACTTCCACAAGTTGTCCACAAACTTATACACACACACACACACACACACACACACACACACACACACACACACACACACACACACAGAGAGAGTAAATAAGTGTTTTTAAATGCAAAACGGAAAATAAGTTAGAAGTTGCCAGGGGATAGGGAGAAAAGGAGTGGAGAATGGCTGCTAACGGACGTGTGTTTCTCTGGAGGCATTTTCCAGCATTAGATAATGGTGAGCATCCTACAAACGAGGTGAATTATAAAGTAAGTTATGTGTTTTAAAATGGTGAATTATATATGTTAAGTTTTGAAATGTATTTGTCTGTGTACATATGTGGGTGAATGAGTACCATGGCACCAGTTAGCCATCAGAGGACAATTTGCAGGATTTGGCTCTCTTCTACCGTGTAAGCCCTAGAAATCTAATGCTGGGTGTCAGGCTTGGCCAAAGAGCCTTTACCCACAAAGCCATCCTGCCAGCCCATATCTCAAGGTTTTTTCTGTTTTTGTTTGTTTGGGTTTTTTTGAGTCAGGGTTTCTCTGTGAAGCTTTGTAGACCAGGCTGGCCTCTGCCTCTGCCTTCCGAGTGCTGGGATTAAAGGCCAGCACCACCAGGCTGGGTTCCATATCTCAAGTTTTAAGAAATGAGTCCTTCCATCTTGTTCCTATGGAGATCCCAGTATTTTCTCATGACCTGCTCTGTTATCTAGATTACCTTCCCAGAGAATACATCCCCAGCTAGGCTTCAGAGGATGGTCATAAAACCATTTTAGACCTTTGGACATGTTTCCTGGTGCCTACCTTAAGGGGTCACTTATAATGCACTTAAAAGTCAGACTCCAACACACAAGTACAGCCACAGGCCCACTAAAAAAGAAATCAGCATTGGCCATATAAAAACAGGTGGCAGGAAGGCTTTGGTCACCAGGCCATGGTTTGCCAATGCTGAGAGAAAAGAAAAATATACAAGTAGGGATGAGAGATGTTAGCATATTCTGTAGAGTGATTTGTCAAATGGATTAATGAATCTGTTGGTGTTTTGTCCTCTTACCTATATGCAATACAAATCAGTTTCTTTCATTATCACTCCCTTCTCAAGTCTCTGGAGATCTTCTACTGCCCTACTGGACAAATACTTAAGATTTGGCATTCCCTGTGGATATTGCCTTAACATTCTTTATACCTGGAAGTTAGCATCAATTGAGAAGTTAAACAAGGCATAAAAATGAATTTATGTTTTCTCTGATCTTATAATGCCAGTGGGTTCTCATTCACTTTAACAGCACAAATATAGAATCTTGGTGAGTTCTGGTCTAAAGTACCCACATTCTGACCCAGGCCTCCTAATGACCAAGCTATACCCCTGCAACATGGCTAGCTATGGCTAACTAAGATATATCTGTGGCTGAAGAATAAGCATATTAACACACCCAAGAAAATGTCTGCTGTGGTTCATTAGCACAGTAGTCTATAGGGTCTTAGCTGCACAGTAAGATGCTGACAGATTACAAGCATGTGTTATCTAAGTTGACAAACACTTGATGGAGAAAGAATGAGGAGGAAAAACTGAATGTGTATTGCAAAAAAAAGTAGTAGCACCTTTTTATGTAACATCATTTTATAACAACTCCTCCTTAGCTTATTATTCTCTCCATTTCCATGCCATCATCATCATTATTGTTTCTGTAAGGAATTTATTCTTATTCTTTTAATCTTAGAAGAAGGAAATCCAAACATAGCCTAGACTGGCCTGGAGCTTAGGAGCTTCCTATCCCAGTCTTCATAGCTGTGATAACACACATTTTACTTAGGAAGTCCAAGACTATGCTACTAACCATGGAACCCTATTTTACAGGCAGATGGCACCTATGGAGTCAGTCATTCTGCCAGTCTCTTATCTCAGCCTTACCCAGCTCAGATTTGGCACATATGTGTATCTTCCAGGATTTTGCCAGTGAAGGCCTCCGCACCCTCATGATAGCTTACCGAGAGCTCGATAATGCATTTTTCCAGACATGGATTAAAAAGCACACTGAAGCCTGCCTGACTTTGGAGGATCGAGAAAGAAAACTAACTATGGTCTATGAAGAAGTTGAAAGAGACTTGATAGTGAGTATGAAGAAACTCAAGACAGACTGAGAGCAGAGATGGTAAGGATGGCAGCTAGTAGACTGAGTGACCTCCACAGGACCAACACACGAGGCTTTCTCTGGGAGAAAGAGAAGTAAGCTCAACAAGAAAGCCCAAAACTTTGTGCCTGGGAAACTAAGTACAGGGATGTATGTTGATTGAACATAGCCAGAATCTTCTAAATCCATTATGAAAAGTTGTTCTGGCTATAGTCTTTTTTTTTTTTTTTTAAGTCTTTCTTCTTATCCCTCAAAATCTTCTCAAAGAAACTACGTAATCTTGAGCTAGGAATATAGCACAGTTGATAGGGTGCTGACCTAGTATGCACAAAGCCCTGGGTTCCATCTCGAGTGTGACGTAAAGCTGGGGATGGGAACGCAATCCTGTAATTGCACCACTGGGGAGGGGGTGGCAGGAGGATCAGAGCTTCAGGCTCATCCTCAGCTACATAGCAAGATCAAGATTCTGTCTCAAAATAAAGGAAGAAAGGGATGAGGAAGAAAGGAACGGAATGAGGAATTAACCTGGAAGTAAAGATCTGAATACTGTACAGATCTGATAATTCAGAATGACTTAGTGTCATAATCAAGACAGAATAATTTACTCATCAATACATATAAGTGATGCCTATGAACCACTGTGTCCTATGTGCCAGCAGACAAAATGGGCAAAAAGTAATATATGTAGTATGTTAGGTGGTGAAAATATTACAGGAAAAAAAAAAAGAAATAATGTCAGAAGAGAAAGTCAGCGTGCACTTTAGGTTTGAAGGGGTGGAGGCACTGTTTTATTACAAGGCTTTTAGTCTGTTCAGAAGGCATCTAAGAGAGTCCTCAGGAAGCCAAGCCAAGCTGCTCTTTGGCTGCGCTCTTTACACACTGTGATGACAACAGGAAAGACCCCGCCAAGGGCAGGCTTAACCTGTTAAAGAGCAGATTGTGGGATCGGGATGAGTGAAGGGGGCAGACGAAGGCCCTGAGACAGCAGGTGAGAGCCCTCATAGGCCAGTGTGACTGATGCCTGATACTGAAGGGTCGGAAACCACTGGAGGGTCTCCAGCTGCAGAACAGCTACCAGGGAGAGGGTAGGTACAGGATGGGCAGTGTTCTCCTAAAGAAGGAGTCAACAGAATGTGCAGGCGGGTTGGATTATGGGCATAACAAAGGGAGAAGTTGCCCAGCAGTGGAGGCCCACACCTTTAATCCCAAACTGAGGCAGGCAGATCTCTGAGTTTGAGTCCAGCCTGCTCTACAGAGCTAATTCTAGGATAGACAAGACTATACAGAGAAACCCTGACTGTCTCGGGGGGGGGGGGGGGAGTTAAGATGACCCTAAAAAGGTGTGTGTTGTTTGTTACCAGACTGACAAGGCTGGCTCTACTACAAAAAGAGGAATTACTGACAGCCAAAGAGAATGGTGGAGACCTCAGCTTTCCTTCCGCTCTGCCTTAGTCACCCCGAGTCTCAGTTTAGTTGTGGGGATTACCCCATGTCAGCACCTTAGGAATACTATAAACAGAATGCTTAATGTTAGACCAAGATTCTACTAATCCAGTGAGGTGGAAAGTCGTGACAGTCTCCAGCGGTCTCAGTGGGGTCAAACCAGCCAGGACATGTGCTGTGAAGCCAGGAGAAGTAAAGGTTTGGTGTGAGCACATAGCTTCATGTACCACTGGGCGAGGCTCTTCTGTCTCCCGTCTCTAATGCTGTGTTTCTAAATTTGATTTCAGTGTGTAAAAAAATACTGCATGTTGCCAGGTGTGGTGGACCATGCCTTTAATCCCAGCACTCAGGAGGCAGAGGCTACACAGACAAACCCTGTCTTGAAAAACAAACAAACAACTGTGTGTGTTAGAGGCACAGCGTGCTGACTTTCCCCTCTGGGACCCCAGCAGAGTCAGCTCAGGGTGCTGAGGTGCGTGTGCACACAGTCTTTAGGGTGCACTTAGCTTTCATCCTTGACCTCACTCACCAGTGTCTCCTTTCTGAAGTTACTAGGGGCCACAGCCATAGAAGACAAGCTTCAAATCGGAGTGCCTGAGACAATCGTCACCCTGAGCAAAGCCAAAATTAAAGTGTGGGTTCTGACTGGTGATAAGCAAGGTAAAGGAGACTACTAGCCTGGACAAATACCTGTACATCTCATCAAGTCCTTGCCAGATGCCTAGCTTCCTGCTCACTTTTGTTTATAATTTGTCATTTACTTTGTATTGGTGGTCACTGGTGGCAGAGACAAATCATATGTGACCCATCAGGAAAGAATGGACAGTATAAGAACTTTAACTTTACAATGTTGTCTTTAACAGTACCCTTTCTGCTGTCCCAAAGATCTGTTTCCTTACCACATTCCACCCTCTCATCTGAAAATCCTGACTGCCACCACCTACCCTGTTCAGCCTTCATCCCTGCTGTCTGCTCTCTCTGCCTCTTGCCCTTACTAATCTCAGCAGAGTCTACATACAACATCAACTTAATGGCTCTCACATATACTACTTTTATATTACCCCTCTGCCCAGGGACCCACAGAATCACCATGGTGATTCTCTAAACACTGAAAACATCTCCTTGGCCTCCAAGGACCAAGGTGGTCTGTTGCTATTCACATTTCCTTATCTCCCCCATTGTGACCATTGTTTCCATATGTCCCTCCTAAACTCAATTCCTACTCCTGGGTTTGGGTTGTTTTCCTACTCAAAATACCTTTGCTTCTCCCACACAGTCCTATGAATCCTTCAAGAACTTCTAGTAATAAATGTCTGGAGGAAAAATGTGTTTCTCTTCTAAATTTTTATCATACCTGGACATTAACTTTATTTTTATTTTTTCTTTAATATTAATTTATTCCAAATTTTAGGTTTCTTAATATAAAGAAATGATGTGACTTGAGCATCTCTCTATTCTCATAAAAGTAAGCATAGAAATAGGAACAGAACTGTTCAAAGAAACACACCCACAGACAAGCAAGGCAACTCAGAGAGTGAAGAATCTTGCCACCAACACCATGACTACCTGACATCCATCCCTGGGACCCATATGGTAGAAGAAGATACAAACTCCTGCAAGTTGTCCTCTGACCTCCACACATGTGCTATGACACACACATGCATACTCATCAATAAAGAAAGGTCTTTTAGAGAAGTCTATGTCTGAATGATCCTGGCTATGCATAAATGAGCCCTAAGGCAATGCCAAGTAGAAACTCTCCTGTGAATGTTTGACTGCACTTTCCCTGGTTCATGGAAAAACAAAACAAAACAAAACATTTCATTTTAACTGTATCCAAGACAAACATGGACAAATGAGCTCTGAGCCTGCAGTCCCTGTTCAAGTGATGTGCATTGTAAAGACTCTGTAAGTACCAGTCAAGATGAGACCGTGTTCCCTTTTCCATAGAGACTGCTGTGAACATCGCCTACTCCTGCAGGATATTCAAGGAGGAAATGGATGGGATTTTCACGGTGGAAGGCACAGATAGGGAAACTGTTCTGGAAGAACTCAGGTACACATGGGAACACAGACTAAATCTGCACCCCGGCTTTCCACTCATGTTTCTCCAAATGTGGTCCCCTGCACAAAATGTACCAGAAAAAATGAGGGAAGGGAAACAAACAAAACACCCAAATTAGGTTAAATAACTTTATAAAGAAGTGTTCGGCCTAAAGGACTCAGAGTGGGTGGAGAAATGCGGATGTGGCTACCCTGGCCTCAGCAGATGGTGAGTCTAAAGCTGTCCGCTGTTCTGTAGAGGCCTGGACGTTCCCTGTCCACTTTGACCTTGTTTTTAATTCCTACATTGAGGAGACTCTGACCGTGGTTTTTTCATTTCCAGGACTGCAAGAAAGAAGATGAAGCCTGAGTCTCTGCTGGAATCAGATCCTATAAACATTTGTCTTGCCAGGAAACCCAAATTTCCCTTCAAAATAATTGACGAGGTGCCCAATGGCAACTATGGCTTGGTCATCAATGGATACAGTCTGGTGGGTAACACAGAGCTACCTTATCCTTATCCCAAGTCACTCGTCCCTAGTTCTAACCCAACTCAGGGAAACTAAACCCCTTCTCTATTTTATGAGCCACCCTACTCCCCTTCCCTGGGGTGGCCTTTCCTAAAAGACATCTTTCCCCAGGCTACTCTAGGCAGGAGTATATAAAGAAAGAGAAGCCAAAGGAAAGCCTTCCTTTATTCTTTATTCAAGTTTTTCCTGCTAACATGGCAAACAAGCAGAGAGGACCCTTCAAAAGTCGCTTGGCCTAATGGCCCACTGACTATTTTGACCCAATGAGAGGTAGAGCCAGATTTGAGAGAACTAACTCACATCTAGAGCTAACTCAAGAGGCAGGTCCCTTCATGGGGAGAGCACTTTGTGAGGAGCCCTAGAAAGGTTAGGCGAGGACAGAGGGAAGGTCCAATGCTGGGAGACTCTGGGGTAACACACTGAGTGTGTCTTGCTGCTACAGGCCTATGCTCTAGAAGGGAACATGGAGTTGGAGCTGCTGCGAACAGCATGCATGTGCAAGGGGGTCATCTGCTGCCGAATGACACCCCTTCAGAAGGCCCAAGTGGTAGACCTGGTGAAGAGGTACAAGAAGGCGGTGACACTGGCCATCGGGGATGGGGCCAATGACATCGGCATGATCAAAGGCATGTGAGGGGAGGTGGGCAGTAGTCCCCATCCATGGCTTATCCCCTTCCTTCCTCCATGGGCAAAACTGATCAGAATGGTATTGTGTGTTGACTCACACTCCCACCTAACTTAGGAAGTGTGCATTTAATGTTTGCAACCCCATTCACACTCCTTTACACTGGATCTCTTACTTAAACCCACAACCACAGGCATGCTCAAATTCACTGATCCAATGAAGGTAAGCCCTCATGAACACATGCACACCCTTACGTCACAGCTGGCTGTGCAGCTACTGTACCATCTATCTGAGACGGCATTGGATCCACAGAAAGAACCTTCCTTTTGTTAAAGTCTGTGGGCAAAGGCCGTGCCCCTTAGAACCAGCCATGGCTCCCTGGCTGGATCGGAGTGAGTGATCTACTGAAATTCATACCAGCAGAAGCAAGCTAAAATCCCCTGCTTTAAATTTCAAGTATGTGTCCAGAAATGTGTTGCCCTGTGAGTTGTGAACAAAATCTCACCACACAGGAAATGCTACCAGGTAGTCCAGCCTCTGCTTCAGGTCTAGAAAGTGTTCTTGCTTCAGTCCTTAAGACTTTAGAAACTTCAGTGATCCTAGCTGGTCATGGGGGCACACACCTTTAATCCCAGCACTAGGGAGTCAGAGGCAGGTGAATCTCTGAGTTTAGGACAGCCTGGTCTACAGAGCGAGTTCCAGGACGGCCAAGGCAAATAAACAAATAAATAAGAAATTTAAATTAACCCTATTGAGTAATAATGCAGGTGTATATGAGGGAATCCGTGAATGTAACCAGAATAGTTAATTGTCAGAGTAATTAAAACTTTTAGAAAATTCAGTTACTCATATTCTATCAAAAAAAAAAAATCTTGCTTTATCCAGCAAAAATCACTTTAGGTCCCTGGAGGAGTTTATTTCTCACTGACAAAGTATGTATATTGCATATCTCTCCAAAAAATTGGGTTTTCACCCCTTAGATAAATGTGGGTAATTAAATATTGTGTAAGATTGGCATTCACCCTGTATTCTTAATTCATTTAAGTAGCTTTTGTGGATAACAAGGAATTTAAATCACAATTATCTGAATAGTAAGAAAGAGTTCAGATGAGCTAGTGCTGGCTGTACCAAGCAATCTTGAAATGACAGCATCAAAAACAAAATGCAGAAGAAGGGGTCTCCCAATGTGCAGGGAAAAGGCAATCAATCAAAAAGAAAAGATTCCACTGTGGAGCTGCCATTTTTAACGGGACCCAATAGTAGTCCCAAATGTAAAAATGAAAGGTTTGTATCTCTACATTCCCTTTACACTTCCCAGGGTAAGAACCCAGCAAACAGTCTTCATGTCTTAGAGATTTCTGGGGTTTCATTGCAGCTGCCCATATTGGGGTTGGCATCAGCGGCCATGAAGGGATGCAGGCCATGCTCAACAGTGACTTTTCCTTCTGCCAGTTCCGCTATCTTCAGCGCCTACTCTTGTTACATGGCCGCTGGTCTTACAATCGCATGTGCAAGTTTCTCAGCTACTTCTTTTACAAAAACTTTGCCTTTACACTGGTGCACTTCTGGTATGCCTTCTACAATGGCTTCTCTGCACAGGTAAGAGAGTGGGGAGCAATCTCCATTCTGTTAGCAGGCAGGTTCAGTTTTCCTTCTCTAGAAGCCAGTATATGAAGTGTTGCCATCCAACTCCTCACCCTATATTAACCATATTGCCCAAACCTACATTAACCTTACATTTCCAGATCATAAGGTTCTGTTACTGACTGCTACCCTCAGAACTGTCCCATGAGCTACACTGATACTAGAGTTCTTAACATACATAATTAAGGAAAATTGGAGGATCTGGAAGTTCTCTTAGCATCCAAAGTCATCTTTTTGTTTTTGTTGTCCATAATATCTTATAACTCTTCACTTGTATTACTTTTAAATTTTTTATTTTATATGTATGAATGTTTTGCCTACACGCTTTATACCACATGCATGCCTGGTACCCTCAAATGCCAAAAGAGGGTTTCAGATCCTTGGGAACTCGACTTCTCCACTTTTAAATATTGGTTTTAATTTTGTGATTATAATATGGAAGAGCCATCTTTGTTTTTAAGCCATCACAATCATAAAACTATAATAGTTACATTCTACATGCTTCTGAGGTACTTTTAAATGGTTACGTTTTGAGTCTGTATGTGAATAATGACAACAGTCCAAATACATCATCCATACAGCTCAGACTAAATACTGGGCAAGCCTCCAGGAGCTTCTTGGACCATGACAGACAGGCTGTCATGATATTTACCTGTACTTAGGGCTGCCCAAGTCTTCCCCAACACTCACAAAATTGTTCCTATGATAAATTAATTTCACATTTGAATATGAACTCACAATCTAGAAAGGAAGTGTAGGTTTTGATGTGATAAGAAGAGCCCTTTGTCCTATGAGAAGTCTTTCAGGAGTCGCTCAAGGAATCCCAAGAAAAACAATGAGGACTGGTTGTCTCAGGAGATGCCGACACCAGCCAGCAGACAGGGTAGACTGATACACCCCAACCCTAGTCAGGCCAGTCTAGTCTGTGGGAATGGTCTGACCTGTGAACAGTCAGGAAAGCAGCCCTCACTAGATTCCAGGATGGAACACCCAAGTGGAGAAGAGTCCTTACATCTTTCCCCCTTGCCCTGTCAGTAAATGTTCAGGGCCACAGAAGCCACTGAATGCCACCAAGCAGAGAAAGAGAAGAACCTCAAGCTTCACTTGTCTAGAGGTTCAGAACTATAGCTAGCTACCCCTGGAAGCTGCTCTGTATCCTCTCTGTACCCTGGGGGACAGTGCAGGGTTGTAGTAGGGTTGTTTCAGATCGATCTTGGAAGCTCAGCATGGCTTTGCCTCAGTCTAGAAATGAGGGTTCTAGAGTAGGATCAAAGAAAGACTGGCACTCTACATCAGATTTCAGTCACGCTAGGTAGGGGACCAAGGAAGGGTGGCATTGGACCTGGGAGGCTGAACTGGGGCTTTATGAAGAAAGTAATGTAAAAATATCTCCTTGCTCCTCTTTCCAGACAGTGTACGATACTTGGTTTATCACCTGCTACAATCTGGTCTACACTTCTCTCCCTGTCCTCGGCTTGAGTCTATTTGAAAAGGTAAGACCCAGGAGCAGGTCTCTAAGACAGAACTGAAACCCTGGACTCAGTGGGGAAGACAGCAAAAGTGAACTCTCCAAAGCCAAGTGTGAAGGAAATAATTTCTAGAACAGGGGAAGGAGATGATCACCTGGATGAGGTGAGGAGGAATCCTCCATAAGTTAGTGAGAGGAACAGAGCTTTGAGCCAGGACTTGGTAAAGCAAAGAGCTGAGAAAGGAGGGGCCTATTCAGAGGTAATAGGGACGAGACAGCCTGCTGCAGAAAGGCCTCGGTGGGAGTTCTAAAAGCCATGTAAGGAGCTGTGAACACAATTCCTTATGACACAGGAAACCAGCCTAGGGCTCAATGTCTGTTCCTATTAGAGAGTCCCTCTGTAGTAAGAGTCCTGATACCTGACTCTTCTACTCCAACCTCCAGTCTGGGCACCAGTTAGAGTCTCCAAAGAGGAACGCAATAGATGAAGGCCGTCTTCCAAAGGACTTGCCCATCCTAATTGATGTTTCTGCCTCTGCCCATTGACTTTTGACACAAGAACGTTTAACCAAAGGAACGCTTGAACCTGGGGACTTTTGCCCTAGTTCCTCCCTTCTCCCAAGCTCCAGCCCTCTCTTCCAGTTGCTCTTGAGCCAAATTGTTGTTCCCTTTGTCACTCCCAAATCCTGACTGCCTCAAGTGTTTCCCATCGTGCGGTCTCAGAGCTCTCTGGTTCCGCTTCTCAAGGACCCTGTGAGGAAATGCTTGGGCAGCTGGCAGCAGCCTAAGTGAAGCAGAGCATCTCTACTCTGAGAGATGGAAAGGTCCTGACCTTCCCCTTACCCTCTGATGTTACCAGGATGTCAATGAAACGTGGAGTCTATATTACCCAGAGCTGTATGAGCCAGGACAGCACAACCTGTATTTCAACAAGAAGGAATTCATGAAATGTTTAATGCATGGCATCTACAGTTCCTTTGTGCTATTCTTTGTTCCCATGGGCACCATCTTCAACTCAGAACGCAGTGATGGAAAGGACATCTCTGACTTCCAGTCTTTCTCGCTGCTAGTGCAGTCCACCTTGATCTGGGTGATGACAGTGGAGGTGTGGCCCCTTGTAGTAGGAGGAAGGGGACTGGGTGGGGAGCCTGCCTGTCAAGAAAGGGAGGTGAAGAGAGGGGGGAGGGTGGGCAGGGACCATCTTTCATTACAGGCTTAGAGAACTGAAGAGGCTGACAAGTTATACAGCGTTGCACATGAGCTAGTGCTTTTCAGATCGCCCTGAGGACAAACTCCTGGACCCTGATAAGCCATGCCTTCACCTGGGGTAGCCTGGGTCTCTACTTTTGCGTCTTACTCTTCCTGTGTAGTGATGGCTTGTGTCTAATGTTCCCCAGCACCTTCTATTTCCTAGGTAAGACCCTGATCAGCAGGTGTTTGGCATGGGAGAGGACTAATAAAGTGCTAATCCATCGTTTACTGAGAAACTATGTATTACATATTTAGTGTTTAGGTTGCATATGAATAGAAATAGTCTCTGCTCCAAAGGGGTGCAATATTTTCCTAGAAAAATATTTAACTTTAGAATTTCCAATTTTTTTTTTCAAATAACTTAGATTATTTGATCTTCACAAGTCTTGTGTGAAGTGACATGGCAAGAATTATTAGCAGCATTTTGGGGACTTTGGTTGGTTGGTTGGCTTTATGATTTTTATTTTATGCGCATAGGTATGTGTTTTGCCTACATGCATGTCTGTGTGAGGGTATTAGATCCCCTGGAACTGGAATTACAGACTGTGGTGAGCTGCCATGTGGGTGCTGGGAACTGAACCAGGATCCTCTGAGAGAGCAGGAAGTGCTCTCGACCACTGAGCCATCTCTCCAGCCTTGGTTTGTTTGTTTGTCTTTAGTTTTGTTTTGTTTTTTCAATCAAATGAACTGAAATTCCAGTCCACGCTCCTTTCTGCTGAGGCATACTGCCTTACTGTCTCTTACACTGATTTCCCTCTCTCATTGCCATTCAAATGCTATTTTTGCATATGCACTTGCTTCCTACCTCTTGTCGGACCACTATCTCATTTTTCTTCTCCAAAGCTTTCTATTTTTTTTTAATTTTTATCACATTTATTTATTATGCAATTATTTATTGGGCATGTGAGAGCAGACAGAAATAACAACTTGAAGGTGTTGGTTCCCACCTTTTACTATATGGGTCCCAGGATAGAACTCAGGAGTTCAGGCTTGGAGGCATGCTAACCTCTGAACTGTCTTGCTGGCCTTGTCTTACTCATTTGTGCATGAATGCACTAGAGAGCCCTTATAAGCGCACCCTCCCACTCCTGCTCTGTCCAGTCCTGCCTTTAGAGGGAGACAAAGGTATGTGAATTGTATCAGCCACCAAACCAATCGTTTTTTCAGGAAGATGAATTACTGCTGCTGGGTAGTTGTGGGAAGGGAAAAGTATACAGTGACTTGGTTTGCATTTATATTACTTCTGGGGGGACTAGATTGTCTGGGAATGAGTAACTTCCTGCTTGGGCCTGGAGAAGGGAGCTGTGCCCTGGCTGATTTCTCCCACCCCTAATTCTACCTCCCTCCCAAGCTGTTTCAGCCTCTCCTTTCCTGGTTCACTACTTGCAGGTGTGGCCAGGAACAACCTTAAGCAGCCACATATGTGGCTCTGTCTTATACTCAGCACCGTCCTCTGTATGATCCCTGTGATTGGATACAACTTCCTCAAGCCACTCCTCTGGCCTGTCAATGTGGACAAGGTGAGTGGAAGAGGGAACCTGCACAGATGGAATTCATGATCCCCTCTCCCTCTGCCTTGGCCTCTGTTCTGAAAACCTTGTCCCCCATGCTCTGGATATAGGTTCTGAACAGGATTCACTTTTGCTTGAAGCATCCGCTGCCACCCCCAGTCCAGACCAAAGTAAAACACCCAGGCCTTCGACGCTCTGCCTATGCGTTCTCCCACCAACAGGGCTTTGGGGACCTCATCACGTCTGGAAAGACGCTGAAGTCCAGTACCCTCAAAATCAACAAGAGGATCTTGTAAAAACTAGAGGCCTTTAGGAAAACTCTCAGTCAGTCAACCATCGCTTTTCCTCCCTTTTATTTATGTGACTTAGTTAAAAGGGGTTGGGGTCTTGAGGAACCAGCATAATCGTACTCCCAGGGCTTCGGCTTCTTCATTTCCCCAGAAAGCGGTACCCAGGGAAGTCAAGGAAATAGATAACAGCCCCTAGGTATCAGCCAGAGTTACAGCATTTCAAGAAAAAGCAAATTCAAGTCTCCCATCCTTCCATGTCATAATCCAGACAAGCAAATCAGGAAGAGGGGAAGAGGGCGATAAAGAAGGAAGAAGATGATGGGGCCTAAGAGTGTCTGTTTGGGCCCTGTTTCTCCCGTACCCAGAGCAACTATAACCCTTCCCAAACCCCACATGAATATTTCCACCCAGATACCATTTTCAAATCTATCTGGAAGATTCAGGGTGCCAGGGTGAGTGTTTTGCTGGCCCTGGGTAGCAAAGGAGGAGGAAGCTGTGCAGACTCAGTCTGAAGAAACTGAAGGAGAGCTTCTGCACCAAAAGAAGAAGAGGAAAGAAGGTGGAGGCAGGTCCTGCCTGGATAGGACAGCTGAAAGTCTGCCTTCCCCTCTCTGGCCCTTTTGATCTAAGAACTGGTATTTATTCAGGTATTAGAAACCAGGAGGGGAACAATGCAGGGGGGTGTTAAAAAATAATTTCTTAATGGAATGTAAGCCATTGCTGGTGAGCATTTGTCTTCTGTAAATGATTTTGAGAAGAAATTATATGTACTTGAAAAAATGTTTCTAAGAAGTTTGTGGAGAAATAAATGGAGAAATAATTTGCTTATTTTGGAGTGAAGAGATGTGTATGGTCTATTGAGGCCCTACTGACAATAATACAGTCTGAGCAATGTCATTGTGAAGCATTATCAATATAAGCATATTGTATAGATCCCCCACCCCTGTGTAAGTTTAAGTTTTCTATGTATCTTATCCCAACTTATGACATCTCATACCAACTGAAAGACAATTCTCATCTCTATAGTCCCTGTCTCTTCTTAGATCTCAGTCTAAATAGTAAACTAAATCTGAGACCCTCACTTAGCTAAACCTCTCAAAATGTAAACTTGGCATGCCCAACTTATACTGACCACTTCCTCCCAAATACCAGGACACCATCACTCCAGTCACCCAAGGCAAGGTGACCAGATTGGAGGTACTCTCTGCTTTTTCTTCTAGTCATATTCGGTCAGCCATCAAGTCATGGCTGCTCGCCTCCTTTGCAACCTCCCACTTATTTGTCCAGATTTCACTGCTCTCACTAATAACAGCTACCTCTCTGGCCTTCTGACTCCTATTTAGTTTCCTTCCAGTCCATCCCTCTACAGCCTATGACAATCTCCCTGCTTCCCAGTTCTGGTGACCAGTTTGTGTTGCACAGAATTCCATTCTTGACATGCCCAACGATTTCATTTCCATTATCTTCAGAAGCCACTGTGCCTTGGCTCTTTCCTTTTTCCTTGGTTCTCTCCTTTTAGAATATGGTCCCCATCCTAGTTACTTTTCTCTTGCTGTGATGAGGCACCTTATAGAAGAAAAAGTTTGTTGGGGCTTATAGTTTCAGAGGGTGAGTCTATAACCGTCATGGGGGACACATGGCATCAGGCAGGCAGGCATGGTGTTGAAGCAGTAGCTGAGAGCTTACATCATGATCCATGAACATGAGTCAGAGAGAGAGAGAGAGAGAGAGAGAGAGAGAGAGAGAGAGAGAGAGAGAGAGAGAGAGAGAGAGTGCTAACTGGGAATAGCATGGGCTTTTAAAACCTTAAAGTCCACCCCAGTGACACATCCTCCAACAAAGCCATGCCTCCTAACCCTTCCCAAGTTGTTATGCCAGCTGGAGAACAAGCATTGAAATGTATGAGCCTATGAGGCCACTCTCACTCAAGGCACCACAAGCCCATCTCTCCTTTGTCTAACTACTATGTAGCTTGCTTTACTAATATGTCACTTGCTTTATCTTTACTGACAACACAATCTCCTTGTTCTTTGGGGGTGACTCTTCCTTATGTTAGAAAACTCTTTCCCATAATTTGAACATTTGATCACCTATAGGCCCATTTTAATGGTGGCTTGCTTCTCTGGCTTTTCACCTAGGTCATGAATGATCTCCCTGGGAGGAAGAACTGTATATTAGTTTGGGGGTGCTGTTTTATTTTGTTTAATCCTCACCATCCCACAGGAGGCAAAGTTTTTCATTGTTTACTTTTCCTAAACTTGCTTCTTCCTTTTCCTTATGATCTGTGGGCAGTTTCCAGTTATTCTCCAGGGGCCTCAGGTGCATGTTTTTATGGCGCATGGTTGCACATGGCCTCCCACATCAGGCATCTATCCTCAGAGTTCCTCAGCAGTCAGTACCTCTCTTGATACTTTACACACATCCTGGCTTGACTCTTCAATCCTTAGTCTCCAAGAGGAGCCAAACATTAAGTACCATGTTTGGGAATGTGTGAACAAAACAAGTTTGCAACTCATCATTGCCCTACCTACTTTGAGAAAAGGGACAGAATTTTAGATGTCAGAGAGTTCTTTGGGGAAAACCATTAGTGGGCTTTGAGTTACAGCCTCAGTTCAATCCAAGTTGAGAAGGTTGTGAGGAAATATTTGGGTAGACTATTGATGTGACTGTGTAGGGAACACAAAGTATTGGTACCCGGTGTATCACTAGAAAGTCTTTCTTTTTTTTTTTTTTAAGATTTATTTATTATTTGTTATGTATACAGTGTTCTCCCTGCATGTATGGCTGCAGGCCAGAAGAGGGCACCAGATCATCATTACAGATGGTTGTGTGCCACCATGTGGTTGCTGGGAATTGAACTCAGGACCTCAGCCAGTGCTCTTAACCTCTGAGCCATCTCTCCAGACCTAGAAAGTCTTTTTAAAAGCAGGACAAGATTAGCTATCTGTCCAGTGCCAGAGCAGGAAATGGTGACTGCTTTGTGCTCCCATGGATTTCCAGGACAAAGTATTACCCAAACCCCTTATAGGCCACATGCAAAGGACACACAGTGGCTTTATCTTATCAGATAGTGATTATCTGAATTGTAATACCTCAGTAGAAGGAAGGTGGAGTATGCTGCCAAATGTCTTGAGATTCAGAATTAGATAAAAAGAAGGGAGAATGTGGGGTAAATTTTCTTCACCTTTTCTCTCTACTGTCCTAACTCAAGCTCTGGAGAGATAAAGGCTAGGATAAAGGAGGACAGGTACATGGGACCAACAGAGCATCTACTGAGCTCTACTGTTCCCCCCACTGAGCATGACCACCTGCAACTTAGTAGAGCTAAGAGACAAGGAAAAACATGTGTTGTGAAGTTCAAGAGGCTGGCTCGATGGAAAAAGCACTTGCTGTCCTTGCAAAAGACCTGGGTTTGAGTACCAGTACCCACTTAGTGCACAGACACACATATACAAACAAAACATTTAAACACAAAAAACAATAAAAGAAATAAATATAAAAATTATAAAAAATTATTCTGGGCTGTTGTACATCCATAATATCAAGCCTTAAGAGGCACAGGCAAGAAAATCAGAAAGGCCATCCTTAACTATATAATGATTTCAAGACCAACCTGAGGTATGTGAGTCCCCGCCTCAAAAAAACAACCAAAGAGAAGATCCCAATTTTATTAGGTCATCTTAATTACTAAAATTGATGCTAAAGTGATAAGCATTAGTTGCTACCTAAAATTAACAAGAAATTTTGTGGAACTCAGAGTTAAAGAGATAGTCAGAGGCAAATACGCCTTTTTGTTTGTTTGTTTGTTTGTTTGTTTGTTTTGAGTGGAGCTGGCCTGGAACTTGTGATACTCCTGCCTCAGTTTCTCATGTCCTGGAATTAAAGGCATATAGCACTATATTTAGCCATTAAATGGTTTTATCCCTCACTCCACAATTTCATTCTTTACAGGCTCTAGTAAAATAGACATGCTCTTACAGTTTGCTAATTAGATCTATAAATTTGCTCCATTTGAGCCACTATCTTAGCCGTATATGTCTCAAAGTACAATATGTATATAGAATGTTCCAGGGCTTTCTGGAAATTTCACTCTCTCTATCCCACCATATTCATTCACATATACAGCAAATATATGTGAATATACAGTAAATATATGATGCCAAATTGGGCACCATGAATTGGGTGCTAGTCTAGATCCTGCAGATACAGTGAAGGGGGAAAAAACCCAAAGGTTTCTGAAGCATGGAGCATGCACCCTAGTGGACAGTAACAAATCAACATCATCCAATCTCCATTTTCTACTGCTGATAACATAATACCATGAATTAGGCAAGTTTACAGTTGTTTTAAGAGAAGCTTGGTTTGGAATAAACATGGAAACACGTACACAAATAAATAAATAATTTTTCAAATCTATGGAAAGGAGCAGGAACCATGGTGCATGCTTTGAATCTCAGCACTCAGACAGATTCCTGTGAGTTCAAGGCCAGCTGAAACAGCAAGTTCCAGGCCACCCAGGTCTACACAGTGAGGCTTTGTCTCAAAAAACAAAAACAAAAACAAAACAAAACAAAAACAACAACAAAAAAACCTATAGATAGGCTTTTGATGCAAAATGCAAAATAGCTAGTGTAATGACCTAACATAAAAGTAAACTTTGTACAAAAAAGAAGTCTGCTGTCTAAAACACAGCAAAGGACTAGGTATTTAGATATGGTTGGGACAGTGGACAGTTTTAAATCCAACCTGAAGAGTTTTCTCGGGCTTCTCTAATAAAAAATAGGGGTACAGGGATGAGAGATGGCTCAGCCATTAAAGACTAGGCCTACAACCAAGAATACAAGAGAACAGGGTACAGAGGTGACATCAGGAAGACTATGAGGCAGTTTATTTTCCTCTGTATGTATGGTACAGTGGTGGTGAAGACTAAGGCCATAGCAGTGGGGGGGGGGGATCAATGGACAAAGAAGGTATATTTCAATTTTGTATAATTTTCCTTTGGTTTTATTTTATGTATATGAGTGTTTACCTGCATGTCTTGTATACCATGTGCATACCTGGTACCCAGAGAGGCAGAAGACACTGGATCCCTGGATGGGGTGGGGGGGGGGAATGAAACTGGAGTTACAGAGAGATGTGAGTAGCCTTGTGGGTACTGGGAATCAAACCCAGGTCCTCTGGAAGAACTGCCGGTGCTTAAGAGCTGAGCCATCTCTCCAGTCCCATAAACGGGGTGTTTTAAAGAGAGATCCAAGGACCTCT